AGTACCATTTTGGATGTTTAATTTGGTATTCTAAGTAAATAAATATTGAATTGGATTAATTTTATTAGTTCTGTGTAATCTTATTAGATCTTTTAAAGGTGAAACCCTTTCTCAAAACAAACCAAAATAAAATAAAATGTGAAAATCTTCTGGCATAAAAAAATTTCCCTAAATATTACCATGATGGCTGAGACTTAAATATTGCTTTTGTGGGATGACTAAATGTATTTTCAAAGTTACTAAGGTTAAAGTAAAGTTTCCCAAATCATGAAAACATGGTTTTCACTCAAATATAGGGTAAATATAAAGATGTATTTAATTCAGGAACAAACAACTCAAAGTAATAAATGGTCACAACTAGAGACTGTACTCATAAGTGAAATAAATCATACCTGCAGGTGCAAGCACCACATTGTCTCACTAGCATAAAACCTGAAAGAGTTAATAAAAACTTGGAGGTATAATAGACATTGTGAAATGGTAGGAAAATTCTCAAAAGTAAAGGGCAACTGGGATGTTAGGCAAGAGAAGGGAAAGAAGGAGAAATTTTATATGTATGTGTATACAGGATAGTTAACACAGTTGATCTACTGCCTTCTATTTCTTTCCTGAATGAGACTGTTAATGAGTCCTTGATTGATCAGTATTGCATGTCTCTACTTGTTTTCCTAAGAAACCACTTTGAAGATATCAATATGGAACACAGCAAGCATTGTTCATTCCCTACCATTTTGTTTGTAACTCTATTGTTTGTATTGTTCTTTTGCTATTTTGTAAAAGGTTGTCTGTCTGTTAAAGTTTTCCTCCTTTTATTTTTAAAATAATAAAAGAAAAGAAAACTGAAGAGGCTGAGTGTGTACTCAGGAATATTTAGGTACCCAAGAAAGAATGTAGGAGTAATATTGATAGGCAAGCACATAAATAGCGAATGTCCAGTGGTAACCCTTGGGGATATACTTTCTGGTTGAAAGAAGTCATTCGCATCTCTACTGGGAAAAAAAATCTATAAATTAACATGTATAAATTAGCATGTAACTTTATAGACTCTGGCTTACATCAGTAATAATGAAATCAAACATCTATAAAGTTGCCTCCTATTAAGCCATATTAATACTGATCATTTAGAAAATGCCGCAGTGTCACATTGACAAGATGCAAATGTGTTCCTTTGATTTTTTTCTATTTTTTCCAATTTCTTTTTAGCAGTGGTCTGATCACTTTCAAGACAGACTATGTTTGTGTCTTCCCAACCAGCATCCTTGGAGAACTAGGTACTGACGATATGCAGAATTCAAACGCTGTCTCCAAAGATTACATTTTCTCTTCAAAGATTACCCTTTTATAGATACTTCCAGATTTTTACATCATTTACCTTATGCGTGGTAATTCAGTATTTTGTGATACTTTAAAGTCATATTGTTGTAACTTTCCTACTAACCTGTTTAGAAACTCTGTCTTATAGTTATTTTTTCTCTTTAATATAAAACAAACAAAACGGGAAGAATGAAGTTAATAAACTCTTCTCCAAAAAGTACAAATAACCAATAAGTACAAGCAAAAATGTTTACTTTCTTCAGCTATTAGGAAAACACAAATTAAAAGAACTCTGAGATTCCATCTTACCCCAGTCAGAGTGGTTATCATCAAAAACACAGAAACAATAAATATTGGTGAGGCTGTTGAGGAAAAAGAACATTTCTACATGGTTGTGCAAAGTAAGCTAATACAGCCACTGTGGGAATTGTTATGGAGATTCTGCAAAAAACTGAATATAGAAATTCCATTTGATCCAGCTATAGCTTTCCTGGGTATATTCCTGAGAGAGTTAAAGTCACCATACTACAGTGACACACACCTACGTGTCTTTACAGCAGCACAATTTACACCAGCTAAAGTACATAAACAACCTAGATGCCCACAGACAGAGGAACGGGTGAAAACATGTGGTCTCCGCACACAAGAACTGTTCTCAACCATGAAGAATGATTCACTTCATTTGTAGGAAAATGGTAAGATCTTAACACCAAAATGTCAGGTGAAGTAAGACAGATACAGAATACTAAAAATCACATGGTTTCTCTTATAGGGAAACTCCAAATTTAAATAAATTAAAAATTAACTTAAAAACTTAAAAATTAAAAAAAATCTAAATAAGTCAAAGACTAAACTAAAAGACAGAAGATACGAAACAGGAGGTGCTTTTTGATGCTGAAGAAGGAAAGGAGGAAAAGGACGAGGAGGAAGGGCAGGGAGCAAGCAAGAGCTGAAAATGGTCAAGATATATATATCATACCCCAAGGTATATATACCATGCACCACATATATACTGTTATATGTATAGCAATTCTCCAAAATGGATGCAATTAGTATATATTATAAACATATACCAATAAAAATAAATTAATAAAAACATACGCATGTTTTAAATCAATATGTTTGTGTAAATGTGATATTTAAAAGTGAAATAGTGTTCTATCTAAACTAATATTGTTGGAAATCACTTTCTAAATGTGATATTTAAAAGTGAAATAGTGTTCTATCTAAACTAATATTGTTGGAAATCACCCAGAATTATTTTTTATTTCACAAGAATTCATATCTACACATTACATGTGTGTGACATGATTTCTCTGTGACAGATAATGTACTCACATTCTGAGCTACACTGAGCTTTTTCCCCTGAGGACATTGTAGACTCATGAAATCTATGATGTGATGTAGCCAGAGTGTTGATTTTCCTCCTTCTGCACTTTCAGCTACCTTTGTTAGGGGAAAGCCTCCCTCATTTCAATTATGAGTACTGAATTAATTCCTGTCACTGTCATTTCTCAGCAATACTCAGAGCTTTCTTTTGTAACAGTGGATGGGGCCATATTGGGAGAATTGTGTAGGCCTCTCAATGTTCCAAGAGTAGTTTATGCAGAAAAGTTATAGAACTTGAAGACTGTAGCAAGTGACAAGATTACTAAGATTTGTCTTAGCATCAGTTTTCCAGACCTGACACCTGAGACCTTCATCAACAATTTCAACAAGTTGTCTTAACTCTTGATTCGAATATCTGTTACAATCCACAATGGTTTTGTGAACTTATTTTCTCACTTGCTAGATGTTTTCCGCCTTTTCTGAGTCTGAGCTACATGAAGACAGTGATCATGCTTGTCTTAAATACTCTTATATCCCATGTACTCCACACAGTACCTCAAATGTGATGAGCTGAATAAAGTTTTCTGGATTGAATCCATCTAGCTGAACAGTCAAACCCCAGTTGGGTATAAGGTGGGCAATAATTTGAAGATGGCAAGTGGCTGCAGTTGAAGGAAGGAAACAGTGCATTTTTGCTGCAGGTAGCACTTGCCCAATATCTTTTTCCCTAACCTATCTTGCTGATGGAAACATTCCAGGCACAAAAGGTTTAGGTGGCACAGAAGATGAATATGACCATTAAAATGTAATAATAACAATAATAAAAAGAGAAAAAATAGTGGGCTAACATAATACAGGTTAAATTTTTTTGGTAAAAATATCTCAGTAGCTAATTCCAACAATAGTCTTTGTCTAAAATAAAATCATTGCTGCGATGGTGCCTTTAAGCAATACATTAGCTCAGAAATAACTGCATTGCTCCTAAGGTGTCAGCATTTAAAATTCTGTCTTACTGAAATTTTTTTTAATTTATTATAATCTAATAATCATAGAACACCTCATTTGTATTTGACAGAGTTATGTTTTTACTATGAACATTCTTTCAGCTACATAACAAGGAATAATTGTTCAATTAACATTATTCTTTCTGAAGAATTCAATGTTTATTCATGGGTACTTAGTGAATGAATTCTTTATAAATACATTAGCAAGATGTGGAAAGATAAACTCTGAATTTTCAAAAGATAGCCGTGTAAAATAGTTGAAAAAAATTGGGGGCAGCGGTGGTTATCAGTGGTTTGCAAAGCATGATGGATATTCTGAATGAAATGTGTATTTGGGCATAGAAGGAGCTATAATAATTTTATCAAATGAAGACAATGAGTAAGCTGTAATGCCACTTGTTATCCACCTGTCAGCTTACCAGTTAAAAAATAGCTTCATATTATATTGAGTTTCTTTAACTTTATCATTTATTATATAAATGTACTCTCAAGGATAACTGACTTAAAAGGAACCTTTGGTAAAATGTAGAAAATGTTGCAAGAACTTCTGAGTATTAGCAGTTCTTTTCTCTTATCTCTTGTTCAAATCAGGGTGCATCTGATTCTGACAGGTGTACTGTACAGTACTGGTGTAACATGACATCTTTTCTCAGATGAGCTGAATCAGGGTGATCTTGACAATGAGTAGGTAAGACACTGTCAGAAAGCTGAAAAATATGTCAGTCTCACAGTTATGACATAAATATAGTGGAATGAACCTTCAATATCATTGTTAATGTCTCTGGAACATCACCCATGAGAAGGCATGAAGTCGCACTGCCCTTAAACACTATCATTTAGCCATGATAATAATACAAGACTAGATGCAAAGGTCAGTATAATATGTGTTTGAAGTGATATTTTATGTCTAGACTGAGCATGTAATTTGTGTGTGGATCTCTTGTGTAGTATGTATGTGAACGAATTTTCAAACATCAAAATCACTCTTCTGCCAGAGTCCCGCCCCAACCATTTAACTTCAACATTTCAAGAATATTCTTAAAATATTGATCATGAAATATATGTTAATTTTATGCATATTAATTAGAATTTTTAACTAACTTTCTGTTTTTTTGTGCCCTGAGAAGTAGCTTCCAAAAATATACAGAAATTAAATATACACCTAAAAATGTATCTCTAGATGTTTAATTTTTTCAGTGTTAGTAAAGACTAAAATGGAATCCATCCAAGGTTTCAATAGACAAGGAGACACTGGACAGTGGTCTTTCATATGCAGATCCACATACACATTTACAATGCCTTCATGGAAAGTGTATCTATCCTTAGAATGACTTCTAATACCTTTGTCTCTAGGATCAGAGGTGATTGATCTTGATGGAAAAAGTTCACTTCTGTACAGATTTGATGAACAGTCCCTGAGCCCAATAAAAGATATCATTTCCTTGAAGTTTAAAGCCATGCAGAGTGATGGAGTTCTACTGCACAGAGCAGGGCCGAGCGGAGATCATATCACACTGGAATTAAAAAGAGGAAAACTCTTTCTACTTATTAATTCAGGTACAACTATTTGGGGAAGTGTTGGAAAACCTTGTCATTTACTTATTACTTAGGTAACTTTATGCTTTTATAGCCTTTAAAAAAATAAATATGTATCTTATTTTCAGACTCAAGGGCTTGACTCTATGGCAATATTGGTCTTTCATGTTAAAATGGTTCCTATTTTGTGAATTGTAAGTGAATCTCAGGGGATTTTCCCCCTACAGCTTTGATGGAGCTATATGGCTATTTTCTAGCATGATAAAGAAAAGGATGGGTCATTGAAAAATATCACAGTAGTAAAAATAATGAGGTTGTAGCAGAGATAAAATTTACATAGAGAACGAGCATGCAACGGGTAATAATAATAAAAAGAATTAACAGTGGAAGAAATTACAGCAAGGTTGAGCGATCATTATATTCAAACGTCAGGCAAATCCATACTAGTGTTAGGGATGGGATGCGTGAAAGAGCATTGTGAAATTATTGTACAAGACACTGGTCCACAAAATGGAAATATTTTTTTCTTTTAACTGGGAATAACGATGTTTTTATTTTTCTCTCTTCTCAGGTGCAGCTAAACTGCCCTCTACCCACACCCTGGTCAATCTCACCCTGGGAAGCCTGCTGGACGATCAGCACTGGCATTCTGTGCTCATCCAGCGTTTGGGCAAGCAGGTCAACTTCACAGTGGACGAGCACAGGCGTCGTTTCCACACACAGGGAGAATTCAATTACCTGGATCTCGATTATGAGGTGTGATGCCTACATTTCAATTAATACAGATGTTATGATGTGGATGTGGTTTCACTTCCCAGCAGAAAATGTGCTACGGAGAACACACCTTTACAGTAAATCACAAGGCTGGCAAGACATTTTCCAGCATGGATGAACTCACAGTAACAGCACTGGGCAGGTGATGCCTGAGGCTTCATCTTCCTCACAATGTCTAAATTTATTATTATGGCATAGGATCATCCTTTTCACCTGAAGTGTGTAGCCACAGCTCTTCATAGGCAGAAAATTTCCCCGCAGAGAGATTTCATCATGACTAGCAAACATAGGATGTGTTGCATGATTTCTTTGAGCTGCAGTGTCCTCCTGAGTTGTGAAAGTTTATGGGGAGAGTGTAGCAACAAATATTAATTAACTCATTACCGATCACATTCAAATCCACAAATACCAATGCGTGCTAGAAATTTACACAGAATGAAGCATCAGAATTAGTTACAGTATTAAGCAGGTCAAGTTTTACCGTGGATATAAAGATGTATTTTTCTCCATGAAACAATAAAATCAACACCAGATGTGATTAACAACTTGTATGAATAACCAAGCTCTAGTGTGAATGAAGACTGAATGCATATATATTCGTTTTAAAGTTTGTGCCTTAATTATTTTTCAGTGCATAGTGATGAAAACTTGAGCTGTGTGTGGTGCTTACAGCTATAGTTGCTAATCATAATTTCTTAAGCAGATTACCATAAAATCACTAAACAATATTATTGATGCCACTGTTCTTTCTAAGATCAGCTTTGGAGGGATTTCAGCACCTTCAAAATCAGTATCATTCCCACTGAGCAATTTCCATGGATGTTTAGAAAATCTCTATTACAATGGAGTGGATATCATTGATTTGATCAAGAAGCAAAACCCACAGATCATCATGACGGTAAGAGTCTTCATATGATGAAATCAGTGAAAATACAAGTATTCTGCAGTAAAATTGCTCCTTTATAGTTTCCGAAATGATATAATATTTTAGAGATTGCTCTTATTTCAATTTTTTTCTCTGTCAATATGCATAAAAGGGATTCATTCTATCAAAAGGAATTTTAATTCTCAGAACGTAATTTTACTCATATAAAGTAAAGCATTTATTTTTAGCAGTTGATATTTTAATTTTGTTGTGATATTATTATGCTCAGGCAGCTAATTTCTTTTTCCTTTGTAGTTTCCTTACTAAGATATTCCCTGACCAACTCATCAGATGAGCATATACAGTTTCCAGAATCAAATAACATGCATGTCTGTTAGAGATACATTGGAAAAAACTTGCAGTTTGCCACAGTCACTCGTAACAAACAGAATGAGTCAGCTGTCACAATACTGCATCTGCCAATCTCCTGAAACAGTGGCGTTGTTCAGACTCATTAGGTTCTGGGTTATGGAAGTGTGGTGGAATGAAAGCTAACCGCTGGTTACTGTTCAGTGTTCGAAGCAGTACCAGTGTGCGCATCGGGAACAGGCGGTCTCTCTTAGGACTTGGATCTTATCATTGCCAGAGGAATGTGGAAGTGAAGGCCGGGCAGGAGAAGGCAGAAGATGAGGAAAGCCACTCATGCTGCCTGCAGCCATGGTCCGCACAGTGTGTTGGACTTGGTAGAGCATTTCCAGCCTATGAAGGAACTTTTCTGAGGGGCCTGTGGGTCTTGTTGCCTCTGGAGAACATTGCTCCTGGGATCCCTAGCCAAGAATCTGAGAGGCGGGCAGGTCTGGGCTCCGAGGAGCCAGCCACCGGGGAGAAGAGATGATACAGAGTGGAGGAGAGGGAGATGGAGGCATAAAGCAATGCTGAGTGGGGTAAACCAACAGATCCTTCATTGTACATACACTCCAGAAACCCTTCGAGCAAAAGGCTAGTGTTTAACTCTCTTTTTCAGCAAACTTTTACCCAAAGAGCATACAAGGAAGAAAATTCTGTGAAACAGAATTTCCAGCTGTACCAATTTGATAATAGAAAGCAGGCCTAAGTTGATATTAATTAATTTCTTCCATTGTTTAAAATTCAAAGTGTGTCAATTTAAGCTCACATCGCATTGGATAATCCCCAAACACATCAAAATATTTATTACTAGAGAAGTATTTCATTCCTAATTCTCTCTGAATTGGTGCTGTTTTTTATGATCATAGATAGCATCCAACAAGATTTTGAAGTAGTTTTTTATAAAAGGGAAAATAAGAATTTTAAAGGAAAATAAGAATATTACAGAGAGATATGTATGCATGTTTCACATAAAAAACGAATTTCCAGAATATACTCCCACACTCTTCCTTGGCAAGAGGATATGCTCTTATTCGTAGAGTAACAAGCAGCTGTCCACTGACACATAAGACCAAACTGCGGTGGGTGACATGTTTTCATTTTCACTGGGTTTGACAGTCTCATAATTACTACATATTATGGGTTAGTGCACACGTGAGCATTGTTTTCCCATCCACTTTTGTTTCATTCACTGGAACACAACAGTGGTTGACAATAAAAGTTAACTCACTTTTAGTAGAATCATAGTCTAGTGAAAAATTTTCATTTGATCTAGACCATGTGTTTTCCTTTCACTGTGCATGCTTCTAAATAACGTCTATCTCGTTGATATTCCAAATCGATATTAAAGTTGAGGAATGGAGGAAAGACCAGAGAACGTTGTTGAAGAACCTTTAAGATGCAGTATATGGCAAGGATTTGGATTTCCATGGCAATAGGAAAACACAGTTTTAAATTGAGAGTCAGGAAAGATTGATAAGAAGCATTTGTGAATATTTCAAATTCTATTACTAATTGGCAGTGCTGAAGTCTTTTTTTTCTTTTACTTTGTCCTCAGGGAAATGTGTCGTTTTCTTGCTCACAACCACAGTCTGTGCCTCTGACTTTCCTGAGCTCCAGGAGTTACTTGGCACTGCCAGCCTTTTCCAGAGACGACGAGCTATCGGTCAGTTTTCAATTTCGCACCTGGAATAAGGCGGGACTTCTGCTCTTCAGTGAACTGCGTCTCATTTCCGGGGGTCTTCTCCTCTCACTCAGCGATGGAAAACTTAAGCTGAATCTCCATCCACCGGGAAAATTACCCAGTGACATCACAGCAGGTAATAAATGTAGTCCCGCAGGCAAAGCATATGGATTTGAAAGATTTCTTTATCTCCATGTCCCTGCTCCACAAATGTTAGGCAGAACCCAAAATTAATATTTGGTTAATAAGTGAATACTTGAGTTAATAAGATTATCGGTCCTCTTCCTTAGAGGAACTTGATTCCAATTTCCTTTTAAATAGGATCCCAACAGTTACAGTTCTTTTTAGCCAATGTGATCATACTGGGGGAACAGAAACTTTCTCCCATGACCCTCTCTCCCACTTGGACAAACCATCAGCACAGCCAGAGCACGTGTGCTTTGGAAAAAGTGTGAAAGATCTTGAAGTAGCCCAATAAGGTAGCTGAGTGTCTTTCTCTGGGAAACTTGACTTGGCCAAACATCGCTATTGTCTCTTCTTATCTTTTGGATAATGGAGACCTCTTTCTGGGATTTATATATCCCTATATTAATATGTAATATGAAAGTAATCAGCCAAGTTAACTTCACTTGCTGCTGTAGTTTGTAGAGTGACATACATGTGGGAGGATGCAGGGAGGTGTGCAGAGTTACTCATTTGGGACAGTAGTTAGAATTCTCTCCACTTTTAGGCAATATGGTGTCATTCTAATGATTAGAAGTGATATCATTAAAGTGATGATGCGAGCATCTAGAAACTTAATGTCCAATCTAGGTCAGTGCTTTGAGTGAGGGATATTTTTGTCTCTTCATTAAATTATACAGTTCTCAAGAAGGGAGCTCATCACATTTTTACATATATGGAATAGCATTCAAGCCTGGCAGCTAAAGGTCACATTGGGATAAACTGCTACATTAATTTAATGAGTGATCTTTGGAAATAATTTAAAGATGCCATTGTACTGCTTCTCCGTGTTAACTATGAACAAAAATTCGTAGATTATGACTTGGAGAGGATAAAGCGTAAGAGACGGTTGAAACTTAATAACAAAACAAGTACACCAGTGGATACACAAAAGCCCTCTCCTTATGCATCTTTTTATTGTTTATATATCATTGCAGTTTAAATATGGAAGTGAGAACTTCCATATTAATTATGAGTTTTAATAGATGTTGTGCTATAATATTGCATGTAATGCTCAAGATGTGGTAGACTTGCAGGCTTGACAAAAGGAAATAAATTAATCAGTGTCATATTAATAATTAATAGGCCCCTAAAATGAGAGTCTAAAAATGTAAACTTGCCATTAGTGTGTAGTTTATAGTGATGTATTTGACATCCTCTGAAGCGATTATATTCACAACCTAATTTTCAACATCTTAAAGAAATTGCTTCAGTCCAAAGCTATCGTAGTCACTCTGTGAAGCAAGTTCATTTCCAACCACTTCACAGAAATGTATAGTTAATAAATGACTAGGTGTAAGTCTGTATATAATATCCCAAGTGCCTAGATTATCTAAATAGATGGGTAAATTTATACACAGTATGATCCATTATATCATATGACGTCAACTAATTATATCCATAGCCACCAATCAGCCTATGAAGTATGCCAATATAGCAAAATTGTTGCACTTCAGGTAACAGTAGTCAGCCTTTACTTGCCAACTGTCTCTACCCTCATTTTTTCATTTCCTTTCAAATCATTAAATATTTTTTGCTAATTTCAATGAAGCAAGTATATTTTTCTATACAAGTAAATTACTTAAATGGTAATTGGGTGAGTGCTCAGGTTGTTCTCCCATAGGGCAAGACTTTTCACTTCTGCTTCACTTGTACAATGTTAGTAATTAAATTCATTGTTATTATAGTGACTTGAAAGAAAGTCTTGTACTTATTGCAGGTTGGGACTCTGCTATACTAAATCCTTCCTTTCCAGCAGGCTGGGCTTAACATTTCATGGCCACTGAGTTTATAAATTATTAATTTTAAAAGTTTGAAAAACTCAATTTTTTTTAATCTTTTACAAAAGAAAAATTAACTTACATTGGGAAAGAATTGATGCGTGCAAATGTTTTAAATTATTAGGTTCAACATTTAATGTACAATTTTGAAAATTATCATTTGGAAAGATTCAAAAATATCATGTCATCCTAGGTCATTTTTGAGATGTTGTTGATAGGGTATTAGCTTAAATCATGAACTATATTAGCAGTACTCTAAAGTTTTTCATGATATCAAATATTTTTATTCCTTGTCTTTCCTTATATTCCTTTATAGACATCAAAGAAAAAAACATTCATCCTGCATCAAGGATCTGGGTGAACAATGCAATTATATTTATCTATTTAAAACAAAAGTCTGTAATTGTTGTCTTAGTTACTTTTTTGTTGTTGAGACAAAATACCCAACACTCACAAGCTAAGCAGGGAAAGATTTATTTACCTCACAGTCTGTAGGGGTTTCAGCCCATAATAGGATGTGTGAATGGCAGACAGGCATCCCAGAGGAAAAACAGTTCATGGTGGGCAGAAGGTAGCAAAGCAGCAAAGAACAACCACAGCTTTTCCTATCTCCTATATTTTATCCAGGCTACTTAGGGTGGGTAGTATACACACCCTTAATCATAATGCCCTTGAGCCTAGCATGGCACCATGAATCAATCCCAGCATCATATAGTCTAGATGCAGTCACTTCTGAACGCCCATGACTGCATGAAGCTTTGTGGAAACATCTAGATACAAGCCATAACAATTGTAAAATGTGAGGTTTCTGCTATGACTTTAGCACTTCTACTGCAGCTTTGCCTGCTGGTGAAAATAAGGATTGTGAACAAGACTCTTTCCCAAGGCAGGGCCTGGCTGAGTCAAACTTACAGGATGTGATCTGTCTGTACATTTTTCACTGACTGGGCCTTAGGGATTCTATGGTCCCCGTAATGATGGAGCAGCTCCCTTGGCTTGCTTTCCCCAGGAGAAGCCACATTTTAACCCCCACTTCCCTCCACTCACTGTCAGACTGTTGCTAGATTGAACACTGTAAACCTATCACCCTTTAAACTCCTGCAGTCCGCTAAAGTGATGGGAGCCAACAACCTCCATATTTTCATCTTGACAAGCGCTATCTAGTGATCTGTATCTTTAACTGTGTGGGGACTCTAGTTAGTAGATAGAGGAATTTCTGGTGCTTTCAGAAAAGGTGTTTTGGAAAGAGGGACAAGCCTTTCATTGTTTCTTGAATGATGACCTTCATATAAGTGCCTTTTGCATCTTTACAGAGAGCCTACCCTGAGCAGCAGACTGTTTTTCCTTATATATCCTTGTACATCATACCTACCGGATGCCTGTTATAGTCTTTTGGGAGAATGATGGCAGCTAAGATGTCATAATGCTTCTTTAGCAATTTAAGACCCATTCCAGGGATTATGTACAAGGAAGCAGATTTAAACTTTTTCCTCATGCTATATTTTGTGTGTTTATGGTTTGGACCAGAGAGATGGAGGGATAGAGGGAGTGCAAATAGATAGGTAGATATACAGATAAATAGATGCATAGATAGAAGTGTGTGTATGTGTGTGTGTGTGTGTGTGTGTGTACAGGTGTTCTGGTCTACAATCCTACCCTCCCCTGCTATCTTCAACTTCAAACACTTCCATTTATTACTCCCTTCCTCCATTGGCAGTTGTCAATGTTTTCCAGCAAAGACTGTAGGGAACATGTCTAGAGTTTGAACAAGTTGGTTTTATTCCTTGTTGCAGCAGGAGGAACACACAGTCAGTAATCATGGGATTTATCTCAATGCAAAGGTGTTACGGATGACTTATTACAGTAGTTTGGGTTGTGTTCATTGATTCAGGATAAGTTTTGAGGAAACAAACAATTGCTGTGATTACACTCTGTCAGGAAGTGTTGGTTCTTCTACGGTTAGGGGTCTTTGTAAGACTTACCTAGTAAGATAGTGGATATAATTGGCCAAAAGCAAAGCACAACAAAACAAAAGTCCCAGTAGTCATTCATATTACCCATGGGAGGGAAAATTTTGCTATAGAAGATAATTTTGGTTTGCAGTATTTGCAGGAGACCCACTTTTGTCTGGGTTTGCACAAGGTTATGAAGTAGTATTGATTTCTGCCTCCATTTCACTGTAGTCAGAGCGCATGGCCTTCCTCAGTGTTGGTGTCCCACGAGGTTGCTAAGGACAATGTCAAGACCTGGCTCCAGACGCCAAGCAGACTCTCACAGCATAAGCCTCCCTGATAGAGCCTGGCCAGCTCCCTGATAGAGCTCCTACTGTCCGGAGCTATTTTTCTCCTTCTTAAAGTTAACTGCCCAACATGAGCAAAAACATAAGGGACCATTTACCTTACAGGTGAAGAGCAAAGATTTGGGAGTCAATTTGGTTTTGTCTTGTTTGTATGCACTCAAAGCAGAACCATTACTATGAGCTAGAAGCCACTTTGGTAACTGTTATTCTTTCTGAGTCTCACGTCCTCCACATTTCAAGTGAAGACAATAATAAAGCAAAGATTAAATGATATAATGCATACAAAGTACAATTTACCTCTTATAAATAATGGCTCAATAAACTTATTATCATTATCATTCTATTATTGTACAGCAATATAACCCCTCCCTAGACCCAAAAGTTATGAAGTGTAGAACTAGTGAATAGAATTAGCATTTACTTGTGTAATATTAGAAGAAGAAACAAGTAAATTCTGTGATTGTTCTATCTCCTTATCCTGTTTCACTGTAGCGTATCTTTTAAAGGGAGCTCATGCTTGGTCAAGCATGGAAGTGAAAATAAGTTGTTTACTTACAAAGGAAATAGAATCTGATTTAAAATTATGTAGCCTTAATTGAAGTAAGTTGGAGACTTTTCATGACTTATTTTGAATAATAAATTCCATTGCCAGGTAATGAGTCTTCGGAGGTAAACGATTTCCATTGCAAATGATACTAGCAATGGTTTTCTGACGATTGTTCCACCAGCGTGGCCCCAGTTCATACCTTGCTGCCTGGTTCCACGGATGCACTTAACAGTGCCAAATTGCAGGCGGGCTCCTCTGGTGGCCTTTTGCTCTTAATATAAGCTGGCTCCTGTCTTGGCAGTACTATTCCACAGGCTCCCAAGCCCCTGATTTAATCCTGTTTGTGCTTCAGGAGCAGCTGCCCAGAGCGCTGCGACACACAGCGGGTCCCTGGGCCCGCACTGGCTCGGGGACACATTCTGTTACCGATCCAGGACACGATAAGTACACAGACTGAGATGAAGCTTTTAGAAACTATTACAGCAAAAAGCTCTGACTGTAACACGATCAGGGCACTTGTGTTTTACATGTCTTTGTAATTTAATTTTTGCTCATTCATTTTTATCCTATTTTCTGAAAGTATCAACCTGCCCTAGGTGGGAGAATGAAATGTGCGTGAGCACGGATAGTTTGAGAAACCCTTTCCAGGGTCAGTGAAGAGGCTGAGCTGAAGTGACGGGGGAAGGGCTCAGGACGCAGGGCTCATCCATGCACTGAGAACAAGGTAGGGGAGGGCGGGGAACTGTAGGGAAGGAAGTGTCCGCACGTGGGAGCAAGTGCATGCAAGGCTTTTTGCTCCTCGTGTACCCCCTGAAGGAAGCACTGACGACAAATCGGGGGCTTCTGACTTACTTTAGTCCAACCTTGTCCTTCCGGGATTATGTAACACTGCTCAGTCACCTATTTCGATCCACTCTGAGAAGCCATGTCTAAAAGCCTCTCACCCACATTCCCTTCTCAGTTTTCAAGTCTCTCCCAGTATTTTTCACACATCAGACTAGAGCTTGATTTTTTTTGGTGGGTCTTTTTTTTCCCCCTCCTCATGGATGTGCTGTACAGTGAAGTTCTGTAACCCAACTAGGATGTGTGTTAAATACACCCAGGGCAAAAAGAAATCACCTAGGGGGGCTTTGATGCATTTTTGATCTGAAAGTCTGTTGTAGAAACTCGCTCAGGGGAATAAAGAAATTGCATGTAATAGCAGAAAAGAAATCACATGTAATATCAGAAAAGAGTCTCTTTGGGCTGAGCAGGGTACTTATATATTTGTTTACTAATTTCACCTGCAGAATTTTGGAGGGTTGTGCAATCAGTGGGTGAAAAGATCACTGGCAAATCCACAATGGAGACACTTACATTCTACATCTCTGCTGAGAATTCAACCATAGACCCCCTGATGGACATGATTCCCTTTATAAGCGAAAGGCCCCTCCACCTCAGGGATTCCTGACTAAGGCTGCCTCAGAGAGCAGATGATAAGAGTGCCTTGATTTTTTTCATAATAGCAACTTTATATAAAAGTTAAGAATATAATTAGAATTGGAGGAGAGACATACATACACGTGTACACACACAGAAGTGATTTCTCATTACTTCTGATGGGTATGTTCTATAATGTCCTAGGAACATTGAATTAGGGGATCCTGAACCATTACTTCTAAGGGAAACACAGGGTTAGGCTTCTGTGAACCTTTGTTCACAAAACTTTTTCTACCAATCAGTGCATAACTTTAATCTGTATGTTACTAGAAAACACCATATTTAGTATGCGCTGTATTGTGCCTCACTAACATTGCATTTGTGGCCAACAGCATTCTAAGTTATGTCTGAACTAAGGTTATTGAACACGGGTATTCCCTCCAATAGACATATCACAGCCTTCTTGCGTATAGGAACCCTGGACACCACTTTAGCCTATTCTTGGCGGCTGACTTAAACAATGAAATCAGCTACAAAGTTTTCCAAAAACGTATTTACAATTTGGAAGTTGAAGCAGTAAAATACAGGAGTGTCTTGTTTGACCTAGCAGGAAACATGTGCCTAGGGCAACTCAAATTCTTTGTTCCTGACATAGTTTGCTAAATATTCTACTGTAACATCCTAACAAGTATCTATGTAAAAGTATTTGGTATAACCTAGAATTTGGTGAAATAGCTATACTCTTCCTAAACTCCTCCCCTCTGAGAAGTAAATTATTTGAATGGAAGGTGTAAATCTATGTCCATGGCAAATAATGAAATATTTTAACCATTCAGCATTGTCTAGGTGTGAGAATCTTATATTATTTGCAGAGGCCCTAGGAGGGGAAGGTAATAATGTACCAGTTCATACATAAAGGCACTGATTTTCCACTTGGCTCCCGTTCCTCTCTTTCTTTTTGTTTCTTTTTTATTTATGAAATAATCTCCCTTATCTGTGGCTTTTCTTTCCACAGTTTCAGTTGCCTAAGGTCAATCCTAATCTTAAAAATAGTAAGTAGAAAGCTCCAGAAATAAATAATTCATAAGTTTTAAGGAAGTTTTGTTGGAATAAGTTGCTACAATTATTCTGCTACTGTTGTTAATCTCTTACCGTGCCACTTATAAATTAAGTATTATCATGGGTACGTATGTATAGGAAAAAACACAGTATATTCAGGGTTTCCGCATCCACTAGGGGTCTCGGATTGTAACCACAGCTAAGGAAGAACTGCCGTAGATGTAAATGTTACAGCCAGTTGAGTTCTCTTCTAATGGAGTTTCTCTCCCCCAGGTGGAGGCTTGAATGATGGACAGTGGCACTCCATCTCCCTATATGCGAAAAGAAATCACCTGAGTTTGACAGTAGACAGCCACGTGACCTCCGCTTCTCCTCTGCTGGGGCCTGAAATTTATTCAGGTGGCACTTATTATTTTGGAGGTAAGAGGAAAGATGGAGCCACATGGGTAATGAGGCTTCATCTTCATTTGCTGCTCCTGTGTCTTGGGGAAGTCTTTCTGCTTTAATCCATGCTCATACTAAGGAATAATTTCTCTCTTTAATCACAGAAATGTTGAGTGGCTCAAGATGACAAATCGTAATCTAAAATGCATTGCTACAAGGTGGACTTACTTACGTTTCCGATTTCTGCAATGAGATTTATTTTAAGTTGGCCACATTCTTCAGTTCTTACTTTCAAGCCTTGTTCTATTTTCCTAATGTTAGACGGCCCCTGTACATTGTCTTCTGATTTTATTGGTTGATTTTATTGCAGTGTCTTCCTGATCAGAACTTTTAGTTCCCCTGGAGCATCCTTGTTACTTTCCCACTGCCCAGTGCAGGACAATATTACGCCAGTGCACAAATAATTTAACTTAATTAGCCGTAGTGATCTCGTCCCTTTGCTAAACAATGATGCACTGATACACTTGATGAAATCAGAATATTAGCCTTCACCATCAGGCCGTTTCCTTTGGAGAACTGGAACAAATGAATCCTTTCCTCATCCCATGGGTGTTTCATTGGACTGCGAGCTTGGAAAAGAAAATTTGAAAAATGGAAATGAATACTTGCCACTGGAAAATGAAAACAAAATGTTCTCGGTCATTAGAAATGCCGTGGTAAGATTGTTAGTAGTAAGACATTTCCCTTCAAGATATGTACGTTTCTTTTATTACCCTTTTTGTATTGTTTCATTGCATGTTAATAGCAACTTCTGTCTAAACTCATTTCTGAGCTTGAGTGAAGTCACCTAATCTTCTTTATTCACCAGTAAAATACAAATAATTTTCTAAGAAATGGTAATGAGTATGTAGCCCATGAATCAGATAACCAGAATTTAAAAAGTCAAGGAGGCCATCACAGTGGGGCACACTTGTAACCCCTGAAATCTGGGAGCTGAGGAAGGAGAGTTGTAAATTGGAGTCCAACCTGGACAGCTCAGAATCTTAATGAGACCCTGTCTCAAGATAAAAAATTAAAAGGGAACTAGTGACGTACCTCAGTGCAAAGCTCCTAGGTTCAATTCCTAGTATACCACACACACACACACACATACACACAAACAATAACAATAAAAGCCCCTGTACAATCTATTACTGCAAAAGGCGGCAGAGGTCTACAGTCTTAAATGACACAGTTGCTTCCTTCACTAAGATTTGTTCATTTCTGAACCAGATCTTTTCAGAATATATGACTAATGTTATGGCAATCCATAAGAACACATTGTCTTAATCAGTAGTAAGATATACAGACGAGCTTAAGCAAGAGTTTTCATCTCAAAGGAAAAGATTTACAAGCAGAAAAAAAGATAAGGAGAAAAAATCCGGATATTTTGTTAAATGATACAAAATAAAAACCAGAAGACTGGATGAAAATGTTTGTACATCATGAAAACAGAGTCATCATCCTCAAAAAATTTCACAGCCTTTGTGTTCAGATTTAGCAGCACTTAGCTACTCTGTGCAGTCGTTCCTCTAGTGATTGTTTTTATTCATGGTGAAATGGTACTGAGAAATCTATCACATATTCACTCTGTAATTCTTTTTATTTTGATACATAGCTTATGTACTATATTATTTTGAAAATATTTTGGATGGTTTTGGACTAATTTTAAATTCACACAGACCTATATGGAGTTCTTGCATCTGCCTTCTCCAGTGTTTATTTAGTTTATTCTTTCTCTTCTCTCCTTTATACATTTACATCTGTTAAGATGTTCCTAAAAGATGTATCATGGTCATTTCCACAATAAAATTCTAAACCCAAGGCTTTTTAATGCATGAGCTGGAAAATTCAGGCTATCTTAAGATTTCCAGGACTGTGACCAGCCTTGTTCCTCACGGACCTGATTGAGATTCATCCTTCTGGAAGTCCACTTTGGCCTTTGGGGCTAGGAATTCCGGATTCTGGGATGTTCAGGGGAGAGGGTTCTGAGTGGACACATCATCTTTCCCTTTGAGGCTTCCTAGGGGTTCGGGCAAAAGAATGGCTGGAGGAAGGTTAGAGCAGCACTCTCTAGAACACAGACAGGCACAGAGCTCCCGAGTTTGTGGGTGGAACCGGCAGTGGGTGAGGGGACTCTTCCAGATGAGAGCTGCAAGTCATGTGTTCCTCTCCTAAGTCCTGGGCAAACTTCAGCAGTTGGTTACCATGGAAAAGCTTTCGTTCTGTGCAGAAGAGAGCTGTTTTATGACGGGGATTTATTTTATCTAGGTGGAAGGCAGTTTTCAGGTATTCAATTCTTCAGCCAGTTTATCTTGAAGTAAAAAAAAAATCCATGTTTTGAGACACTGCGCATCAGTTCTCCTTCGGCCCTCTCTGAATTGAACTGCACATTTCCAGGTGTCTCATCAGAGGCCAGGCCGTCTCACCTGGCTGCGATGCTGCATTGTGAAGGGTGTGACCAAGCCAGCAGCCAGGATTCCGTCTCCACTTCACGCCAGGCTTGAGAGTGCTGCCGTATGGGAAGGCAGAGCCGCTCAGGGGCCAGCAGCACGCTGCATCTGCCCCACAAAGCTTTCACCTTTCATCCATCACTCTGGGCCTTTTAACTTATTCCCTCCCTCCAATGAGTGCTTTTCAAAAATTCAGACTGCATGATGGAGCATTGTGCCCAGGTTTTATCATTTATAAGCTACCGATTTTAAATCTGGCTTCTCCAGATGGAGGATGGCTGAGTGTCTAACTTCTGTAAATTCCTCTGTGGAGTCTTTGTGCTTTGCGTAACACACTATGCAGCACAAGTTAGGGAGACCAAACCGGCTGCAGAATTCTCACTTTCCTCCTCCTGTGTGTAAAGTGAGGATTATCCATCCAGTGACCGGGCTATATCACCATGAAGTCTAACCCGACATCTCACTTCTGGTACAGTGACATAGAGTGATAATTTATCTGTCATTCTCAGAGGTGTCTAACATGCTGACTGCCTCTGGTAATGGATCCATCCATTAATTCAGCATTAAATATTCTCCAGAAAGCTTCCTATTTTAGAACTTCATCTCAAAAACATTCAGTGCTGAACTTCTCTCTGGTATCGCATTATATTAACTTGTGGCTGCCTCTTAGCACACACTAATAAGCCTAACCTGGGTGAACTCCTCTTTGTTCTTAGAATTTCTTGCTTATTGAACATGGTACCTCAGAATATGAGCTGCCTCATGATCCGACCTTGTGCTTTCAGTACAGTTTCATGACCTTTCCTTGAGACTCTGGCTTTGCTTGGCTTTGTTTTCTAGGGGCACATTTCTCAATTTATTTCACTCTGAAATAGTTTGAGGTGTGTCCAGAAACACTACCGAGAGAAAATAAAATTCGCAGATTACTGGCAAATGATAGTTGCCCCCAACTATTATTGAACTATTATCTTTCCTATTTTTATCTTGAAATTTTAAATTGGTTAATAAGTAATCTAGAAAATATATCAAGATTATGGTAGACCTGCACTATAGTGTATAGGCAAATTGTAAGTACTGGAAATGTATGTATTATTATGCATAAGTAAATACTCCAAAAGATTTGATTACTTTTTTGATATATTAAATTTGAAACTTCAAAGTCTCCATTAGTTTAAAGTGGCATATTACAATATGCCTGAGAGGGGGCTGGGGATTTAGCTCAGCGGCAAAAGCGCCTGCCTGGCAAGCGCAAGGTCGTGAGTTTGGTTCCCAGTACCAGAGAAAAAAACAAAAAAAAAACCAAAAAAAAATATGCCTGAGAGTTTTAAATAATACTGGATTTTACATACCACATAAGTGTATTTTTTTGGGAATACAAAGCAGTAAGGAGAAATATTCTGAGTGAAAATATTTAATTATAATGGAAATTCCCAGGTAGAAAAAAGGCGTGGATTACATAGGAATTAAGAATCTTCTGACTTGCTTCATATTCTTTGTAATTGTGATAGTGGTTGACAGCTATAGCAGCAAAGAAAGATTAATGAAAAATACTTAAATATAATATATGTGTTCATAGTCCATAAAACTATTTATTTCACTTGGGTAAACATTTAGAATACCATTAAAATTAGACAGTAATGGTTAATATTATCCTTCTTTATTATGTAAACAATTAAAAGAAATCTCAAATGTTAGAAAAAAATCAATATAAAGGGAACAGTCTTGTATGAGGCAAAGAATAAATAAAATCAAACTGTGAAATGTTTTTGACATTATCCATTTGTATTTATTAAAACACATGTACATATGGCTATTCAATGTATAGGAAAAGAAATTTAACTCAATAAATGGTTGAGAATTTTATTTCAGGTCAATATGTCTGCCTTTGCAAGTAGTTAACTTTAAATACAAAGGCATTTCATCATTTCTGTTGTCATTTATTTCATACAGTGCACATTTTCATCCTTTATGTTCTTAGCTTTTCAGTCAGCAAAGGTATGTTCCCAGGTTAAGTCATATATAATTTAATATTATTGGCCTGCTTGTCACAATTCAATCTAATGTATATATTTCTAAAATTTGAATCAAATTCCAATATGTGTGCATAATTATTACAACACCTGTGAATCCAATGACAAAAATGAAAATATACTCTTTATGAATTGCAATTTGTAATTTAGATCAAGGTAACAGTGATTGCAGTTGGTTTATTTCTTCTTTATTACAGAAAATAATCAAATGTCTATTTCTTTTAGTTTTTCTTACTGAATTATTCTGTGATTATGAGTCTCCAATCATTCTGGTGTATGCGGTTATGCTTTTTTTGTTTTTATCAGGTTGTCCTGAAAAAAGCTTTGCATCAAAGTGTCAAAACTCACTTGGAGGATTCCAGGGATGTATGAGACTTATTTCCATCAGTAATGAAGTGGTGGACCTGATCTCTGTTCAGCAGGGGTCTCTTGGAAACTTCAGTGACCTTCAGATAGACTCCTGTGGCATCTCAGATAGGTGAGAAAACTCTTGCTTGTTTATTTTGACTCATCCAGATGTTTGGTTATAGATCAAAATGTGTATATAAAGTGAATATTTATTCTCTCTCTCTCATCTGTTTCACAGGAAGTCGATTTTGTTTACATAAGAGATAAGAAAAATATACCTTCTGATGTATATGTTTCAATTGATAAAATTTAGAGAAAGACATGGTATGGCTTGTATCTAGATGTCCCCCCAAAGACTCATGTGCTCCTAGGTGGGCTTTTCAGGGGTGGCTGGATCTAGGGTGTGTGAACGTGGATTAAGGGTGTGATAATTAGATTTGTCCACTGATTGGTTTAGCATTTAATTGAGTGTGGGTAGTGGAAAGTCCTACCATGGGGACAGGTGGTTGGCACTAACCGATAGACTTGCATCTGGGATGAAATATACATGAAATAATGGAAGGCAGGCTTATTGCTGGCTGCCTTATTGCCCACCCTGCCACGGACTATTTCTCCTCTGTGATGCCGTTCTGCCGTGCCGCTCTGCTTTGGAGCCAGCTGACTATTGCTTGAAATGTCTGCACCCTGTGAGCTATAATAAACCTTTTCTCCTTTGACTTGTGAGTGTCAGGTATTTTGTCTCAGCAGTGAGAAAGTAACTAAGATAACACGGGACCATGTTAATTATATGTACACATGCTGCCAATTCACAAAAAAATGATGCTGCTGCCATAAATTTACATGGGTATAAATGTATCAAAAATGTCGTTAAGCTCAATAGACTAAGATCTCAAACGGTAAAATTAATCATCAGGTGCCAGTAAACCATAGACCTAGATGCTTTTGCTGCCCTGACAGTTAAATAGTGGGTAGAGACCAGAGAACTTACCTGGTACCTATTCTAATGTGTGCCTCTCATAACCTATTACTGTCGTCTCTGCAGGAACAGAGAAGGAACATCTCTGGTGATGCTTGGTCATAGTAACAATCAAGGTGTAAGGATGCCCTTGGCCTCAGTAGAAGCAGCAGTACAGGGCACACCAAGGCAAAGTTTGGTTGTTCATTGTAGAGGACAAGCAACTTTTAAAATAACAGTTCATAATAGATTAAAACTGTGGGTAGGCATAGGCAACTGCAGTGAAGTAATCCTACTGGTCACGCTTTACAATCGAGGCTGCTAAATTTAATTACTGAGTTCAGTGGAATGTCGCGGCCATTACCGATTTCAGAAAATCTGTAGACCAGGCCCTATTCATAGCACAGAACATGAATGGGTGCTTAAGTCAATCCTTACAAAATCCTTGAAACATGTTCTTAATGGTAGTTTTCCCTAGGAATGTGGAAATAAATGCACAGAGAGTTTAAGCTGGTTAGGGAGACATGGCCGAGACAAAGCAGAGCTCAGCCGCATAGCCAGGAAGCTCCCCTGAACTGTTCACCTGCCCTGTCCTACTTGTAGCCCACCAGGGTGCAAGTTCGCACTTATGACGGCTAATACTTCATCCATGCATAATGAACAGATTTAATGGTTTCATATATTATAGTTAAAAACAAGCAGTAACATTAAAAACATATTTAAAAAGCTGCCAGGAGCTTAAACCCTTCAGCCTTTTCTTCTTCTTTTTGCCACAACTGATTTTAAGCAGGGTCAGATCTATATACAACAGTGTGCATGCAAACATACATGTGCTCACACTCACACGAGCAAGTATTTGCACATGTTCTTTACATGTATCTACCAATGTAGGCATTGCACAAGTCTCTCACACACATGCACAGTGATATGCTCCATGTATAAAAATTCCTCACACTCACATTTAATTCTCACCTGGATTTACTTAGCTTATGCAAGCTCACATACATGCACACATGTGCACATGCCTATATCACACACACTCACACATACACAAACAGACATAAGGGCATTCAAAGTTCCTGACACACCCATGCCTTCCTTACACACACACACACACACACACTCATACACTCACACACTCATCTAGAAGCTCTCCCCTGGGTCTGTGGGCATGCACAGGGATGGTGCTGAGTGAGGGACTCCAGCCGAAGCAGAGGCAAGGGCAGAATGGCCCGGAGAGCTGCTCTCCCTGTCCTACTCTAGGAATGAAACCTACCTGGGCTGGTGGTGGATGACAGGTCTAACAGAGGTGCTCAGACCTCAGCCATTTGCAGCAGGTTAAGTATACCTTCACATATCAAATCCTGAGGAATATGAACTGACTCGGGAGGGTCACCACCTCAGCCATTAGCATCATCAACCCTCTGGTGAGCCTAGGAAGACGGAGGGTGTGGTGTGTGCCTGATCTCAATGACACTCCCGCTGCAGAGACCCCTGACAGAAACTGGGCGGCGGCTGTGTGAGGGTGTTTGCCGCCTCCTCGCTTTCTGGGCCCCTGTGTTGGGGACTCAGTCATGCTTCCCTGCCAGTTCTCCTCCAGGCAGTCTGCCTTTGACCCCCATCCGACCACCTTCCACCCAGGCCCGTGCTGTCCTTCCTCCAGGCTGCAGGCTGCCCACAGCCCTCTGTTCCCGTTTTCCTCTTCTCCACGGAGCCCTGCAAAACTCCCCTCCTTCCTTCCCCTTTGCATCACACGCAGGACTTGCTCCAGGAGGTTTGAAGATTGGGAGACTAGTTCTGGTCAGTTGTAGGTTTGCAGATGGATGTCAGATTTGAATTCCAATCCTTTCCATTGTCCTAGGAACTATAGGTGATTCAATGTCCCTAAATACAATAATGTTATATAGATTTTACATCAATACCATTAATTGTAGCTAAATGTTACACTGTACACATGTGTGAGTCTTTTTAAATATAAATTGCAAGAGAAAGGACTCAGGCTAAATCAAAATCTTTCCCTTCACTTCGGGTTTGATATGTTGACACGTGCATTTGTTGAAGTTCACAAACAATGAAAATAATGATGGAGGGGGCTGGGGATTTAGCTCAGCGGCAAATCGCTTGCCTGGCAAGCGCAAGGTCGTGAGTTCGGTTCCTGGTACCGGAGAAAAACCAAAAAAAAAAAACAAAACGAAAATAATGATGGAAATGTCCAAGGGAAAGAATTAGAAGCTCAAGAAAATGGGCTGAAGGATTGTCTTACTCTGTACTGGGGTGACTGGCGAGGAAAATGTAAAATACGGTTGTTTAGAAGACGTGAGAAAATGGGAACTTCCACACAGCGTGAATAGCCGTCGGTTACCAGCAGTCACGTATTATCACACAATGAATATAAATACAATCCAAAGTTCAGTCTTTCACATTTTATTTAAAAACATGAAAAGTCTAGTCTGACTAGCAAGAATCAAGAAAAGAGAACTAAGTCAGTCTTTGAAAGCAGATCAAACAGAAATTTTGTATGTATATATAACTCACAGTAAGTAAAGATGACTTCTTTTAGATTTTAGGCAAAGCCCCTTAAATCTACTCTTTTTAAAAAAAGAAAGCAAAGTTTGAAGTCTGTTTAAGAAGGGTCTACTCTGTAATCTTCTCATTTGATTCCCAAGTAGAATTGTTGCTGATTAAGTATTATAAAATCTCTTTTTCTAGGTTGCCATTGATTTGAAATGGTTAAAAATGAAATAAATTATGATACAGTCTTTGAATGGATTCTGGTAAACTTATACAAATGCTAAAATATGTAGAAAATTAATGGGCATGGAAATATTCTCTCTCTCTCCCCCCACCTCTCTCTCTCTATATATATATGTGTGTGTATATTTGATCCTTAACAAGGAGATTGTAAAGTATCATCAGTTTATGATTATATTTGTGAACATACATGTATAAATGTTTACAGTGTCAATTTCTATACAGTGAGAATGTAAGTGATCTTTCTTCTTTATTCTTTCCTGGATTGTTTGTTTTCTGTACCTGGACATCTGCTATTATATCAATAATGTTTTAAATTAAAATTGGAAAGATCCCATAAACAAATACAAAGTCCCTGCCCTTATTTTTAATAAAAGAGTAGAAAAATACCATCACAAATGTATTCCCGGCAGGTTTTGTAGGTTATTTTTTAATTTAAAATGAATGAGAGCAGTGAAAGGCTTGGTCTCAATGTATCATTTATTCTATATTCTGAAAGTCATAAATAGTCCAGTCAGGGCTATTCGCACTCACTGGAGAAGTTCCCAAACTTCTTTGTTCATGGTGTTTTACTTCTCTCCTAATTTTGTCTTGAAGTCAAACAATATCCCTGAGACTTTCATTTAAAACTGGTGTTGGTCCCAACGACTTGATGAGTGCTTATGTCCTAACAGCTGACTTAACCATGGTGGTGCAATCAGTCAAGTGTGTTTGCTAATTCGTAGTCATGGAAATGAGGCTCTTAAATGGTAGCTTTAGCCATCTGACAGTTGCATGTTTAAGGGAAGACATTTTTTATTGTAAAACTGAGAAGAGATGGAGAGATTTAATCTCAGAAGGGCAAAAAATAATTGAATATTGAGAGTTTTTTAAAGTGAACCCCCTAAGGAAAGGGAACTATTGTCAGCCGGAAACTTCTCTGAGATATAGCCAAGCAGGGGGGGGGGGGAGGTTTAAATGATCTTAGCCCATCAGGGTGCTTTAAGTGGACAGCAGAAGGTCCCCAGTGTTTTTTTCCATGCTGCCCTAGGTGTTTCCTTAGTTTTTCATTATGACCCTAAGACAGAAAGATATGCTAACACCTGGGGTCCAAAGGACTTGATCCGTGTCCTAATAACTTAGAAACTCTTTGAAATAATGATACAAATCTAGAGAGCTATTGTATAGCATGAGTACACTATTGTATAGTCCAGTAATAAAACTGGACTATAATTGAGACTCATGTTAAATGAGTAGATTGTAGCTGTTTTTTTAAAGAATCTTGGCAATTAGCACTTTATTAATATGTGACTGTAGTTTTCCTCTCCTATCCAGGAACTCTTATTGAATAGAATTCAGGTATATTCTTCCAAAACCACACAGTTCAGAGATTTTAGCTATTCTTACCACAAAAACAAACAAAAAAGTTTGGGTAGCTATGATAGATACGCTAATTTGTTTCACTATAGTGACATTTTAATGAACTCTATGCACACCATACATCCATGTTGTATACATAATAAAATTGATTAATGAAAAAGTAATACACATCATTTAAAATATTTTAAAATAAGCACAATTATTTAATAATTGGGCTGTATACCTTTTGGATATTATGTAACTTTTAAAAACTTGGAGTCAGATCAGACACTGTCACTCCTGTTTTGTTCAATGTCATCTGACATGGTACAGTACTTGCTTTATAAGAATCAATTATTTAAAACCCAGCTCCTCAAAGACAGGTTGCGATGAAAAGAAATATATTATCATCTAATGTTGGAACGTAGCAGCCTCAAGCTTGTAAATCACCCAGTGGTAGACAGATGTTGCATATGACAGTTATTCCTCTTGAAAACTTAAAATACTGTGGAAGCCTCTGTGAGTTCCATTCAGAACACTAGAGCACCACCTGGAATTTGTGAGTCTGTACCACATCCTTCCATGTTCCTTACATCTATAGGCCAGATGAATAGAGAGGTCCTTCCCTGCCACAACTCTTTTCCTTCCTCTTTCTTTATTTTTTTTCTTTAAGTGTTCAAATAATGTAGTAATCCTATGTGGTGACATGTTTATTTCCTGTAAACTGATGATAGGTAATGTATTCGTGTTATGTCAAACAAGTTCATGTTATGGAAATTAAAGATCTCTGACATAGTGAGACACATCAAAGATTGAGCAGTCACAATTGCCTGAGAACTGGCTGAAATCAGGTGGATTTAATGACCTAACCGTTAGTTCTGTGGCTGAAGGACCTTAACACCAGACAGCATAATTGTTGGTCTTGTTAAATTGACTCTGTGTGTTGTGGCTGACGCTCCTCTTTCACATGACTGTGGGTAAGCACTTTATGCTATCTAAAGATGACGAATGGTTTCCTCATCTTTCAGGTGTTTGCCTAACTATTGTGAGCATGGAGGTGAATGTTCTCAGTCCTGGAGCACCTTTCACTGTAACTGTACCAACACTGGCTACACGGGAGCCACCTGCCATAGCTGTAAGCCATGTGCGCCTGCTCTTCTTGCCCGTGGTGACCGCCTCACTGCTTTCTCCTTTCCATTGCTGTGTCTTCTGTCTGCGCATGGGCAACTTTGTGTTGGAATGTACATCCTCCCACCAAATACCATCATGTTGGGGATTAAGTTTCAATATATGAGTTTATGGGGGCACAATATTCAGTTTGTTGTGCTAATTACTATTTAAATTCTCTTGCAATCCTACCTAATAAAGATGATGAACAGAAATACAGTAGGAAATTCTCATGCTAATCATAATGATTAATTTAGTTGAGCACTTTCTAAATGTTCTTTGCTCACTATTTTACATACCTTAGCTCATTTAGTGCTGATGGCCACTCTAATAAGTGGGGGTTACTACTACCCCTAGTTGATACATGAGGTAATAGAGGGGTAAGCTTTCCCAAGGCTACTTAAATAATGGAGGCAGAGCAAGAATAGGAACAAGAGGAGGAAGTCATGCTGCAGAGCCTGGGATCATAACTGATACCCTTTTCCTGTTTATAAGCCACATATTTTTTTTCTAATGCAAAGTTTGCACATGCTGTGAGACTTTGTCAGTTTGTTGTTCACTTATCCATTACCTGTAATCAAGTGACCAAAATGCTCACTTTTCATATCATTACTGAATTTCGGGGGATACCCTAAGCCTTAGTGCTAGCTTCTGCTTCCTTGAGTGAAGGCAAGAGGTTCAGGTATAAAGTCAATAGCCTCACTACCCTGGGTCTAGGACACTGCACATCGTTTTGTATTCCTGCCAGAGCGGGGAGTGGAACCCTGAGCTCCCAGCCCTGCACTCTCCACCAAAGACCCTGAGAAGCCCTGGTTCAGGGCTGGGCTCACCGGTGCAGCCAGGGTCATCATTCAGCATCACTTGTTCACACTGCAGAGTCTCGCAGGAGTAAGGAGAATGTAAAGCCTCTTTTCATTTGTGACCAGTAGCCAGGTACTGGGCCCATGTCATTCAGAAGCAGAGACACATTCTATCTTAATTTTTATCTCTTCTACCATCCCCATTACAGTAACTAGCTCAAAACTGAAAACTACTAAATATATTTTAATTGATTAATCATTCATTTTAATGTTATCCATGACTACATCTAAATATAAACACAAACGTCTCTGAGCAAAAAAATAGATGATAGGTGAAAAGGTATTTTCATCTTGGACCACAATTTGATTCAATAATTAATTTGTTAGACTCAAGTTTTTGTTCAAATGAAGCTGGAGATTTTTTGTTAATACCATCCCTATAAGTGGGGCCAGGAAAGCAGTTTCGGTTAGAAGGAAGAGGCGGAGCTAGTGTCATAAAGAGCTTCCTTAGGAAATGATACATTAAATAGTCATGTTATTAAAAACGAGGCAGTACACATTAAGGAAAAGTCCTTCCTGTTGCCTAAATCCACTCACATATCCTTTCTAATGTCAGTCTCCATCCCAGTTATGTGTGTCCTGCAGGCTTCTTTCTTTTTGAACATATGTACATGAATTTGGAGATATAAACGAACCATTTTAGCAGACAAAATGGAAATATAATTTGAAAACAATTCATACCTATATGTTTTTAAGCTATGTAATATATAACAGGAACAAAATAGAACCATTAGGTTTTAGAGAAGTGAGGTAAATACCTAAGATTATGTGAAAATTTTATAGCATTGAACAATCTAGCCATCATATTTAAAGTTGCCTAAACACTCACTAGCATAATGTTCAGAAATTTAAAATAGATTCAGGAAAGGGTTTTCCAGATATTGTTTATTTCAAATTTCACAGAAAAACCTTCATGGATATCACTGGTACATTTGGCTAAATATTCAATGAAAGGTGGATATTATACATGGGAAATACATACAGTACTTGCCTAGTAAAGCACATTCAGTGATGTATCAAATCACTCTGAGAACCATGTGGGCATATTTCATATACATATTTCATTTGCTCTAAATTTCAATTATCTGGAATTCTTTACAGAGAACTGCCTAGATTTCTTTTATAAGTTACTTGTACAATTTTTAATAATGAGCTTTGTAACTCATCTTTGCTCTATGAGAAAATGTACTTTTCTCTAGTTCATGTTATGTGAGGAAGGTGTACACTGACTTTATGCAAAATGTTCCCATTACATAATTATTGGATAACCAAAGTTTATTTAAGAAGATTACACCATTGTGCTTCAAATGTTAGGCTATTACCAGGTGATATTGGAATTAGAAATTTCAAAATTGATGTCATAAGGGATCATATTATACTCATAAGATACTTGACATTTAAATAATGGCCTTTTCTTCTCATATTCTTCCTAAGGTAAAATCATGCTAAAGTTTTCTTCTAATGAAATAAACTCATTTTCCTTTAGTGATAAAAGACTCATAAAACAGAACCTCGCTCTTCTTTTTTTCTGTCTTATCTTTTTGTATTCATTAATTTAAAAAGAAAAGAAGAATCATTTTTTTTTTTTTGATGTACAACTTTTACCTTTTCCTGTGGCTAGCGATGCACACACCAAAGCTAAAATTCTAGGGATTTATTTCATACTTTTTCATTATGATGATCCTCGTCTTGTTTGTTTTTCACAGCTATCTACGAGCAGTCATGTGAAGCTTATAAACACAGAGGGAATACCTCAGGGTTTTATTATATAGATTCCGACGGAAGTGGTCCTCTGGGACCGTTTCTTCTCTATTGCAACATGACTGGTAAGCTCATCAACTTTTACTTAATAGTTAAATCTGCATGAATACTTTACCTACACAAAATTAAAGTGATCTAAGTAGGAAGTTGATGTAATTTTGCAACTTCATTAAAATGTGTATTGTTCAGTAAAGCAACTGAATGTAACTCTTTAATATATTAGTTAAGTGTAATGATTTAATATACTGTCATTTTCTATGCATGTGTTATCTCCGTAGAACATCTACTCATACATGTTTTCTATTAAATCCTAAAAGAAAAACAGACTTTATTTGTTAGAGAAGATTGATGTACATAAAAGCTTTGAGAAATATTTACTTTTTGAATGCATATAAACATGAAGTTTATATTCTAGAACTTTTTACATGAGTAAATGCCCATAAATATTAACAGTCATAAAAATTCAGTGTCTATTCATGGTCAAGAAGAAAATGACATTACCAATAGAATAGAATTTCTTTAATTTGATAAAGTACCCACAAAGCTTATACCTTATGTAAATTTGTAGTGAAATATGGAAAGATTTTTTGGTTACGAGCATTAATATCCTTCATACATCATTGAATTGGATCTCAGCCAGTGTGATAATGCAAGGAAACAAAGTAGAAAAACATAAATATGGGAAAGAAAGACCTACAATTCTTGTTATTTGTAGGTGCTTAGGTTATGTATGGGAAATCAGTATGGAGATACCTCCAAAAAGCAAAATTCCACTTGACTCAGCGATTCCCTTCTTGATATCTTTCCAAAATAGCTAAAGACCTCATAGTACAGTGATACCTGTGTATCCATGTTTACAGCAGCACAGTTCATTATAGCCAAATCTTGGAAGTGGCCTACGTGTCCATAACAGAGGAATGGATGAAGAAAACACGGTAGTATGATGGAGTACTACTTTGCCGTAAAGAAAGATAAACTTGAGTCATTTGTAGGAAAGTGGATGCAGCTTGAGACCATAATGTTAAGTGAAATAAATCAGAGACACAAATATTCTTATACGAGAAACTCAAATGATAAATAAGGAGTAAAATGAAAGATAAATAATAGGAAGTATAGAGATAAATCTTTCTTAAATTGGGAGGAGAATCAAGAGATGAAAGAAAGGGAAGCAGGGTAAGAATGAAAAAAAAGCAATTAAGATGTGTTCTGCACATGTACTAGCTCCACACATTAATGGAAACACTACATACTAGAAACTTGGACTGATAAAAAATTTTTAAAAGAATATTTGAAATGATCTGCAGCAAACTACTCTAATTTTAGATTATCACTGGATACAAAATCAATACAAAGTTAATTTTATTTCTATATGCCAGTGGTAAGCAATTAGAAAATGATATTTTAGAAGGTTGCATTTTCTGCAACATCAAAAATCTCAAACACGAATAACAAATGGAATGAAAGATATAGAAGCCTTCTGCACTTTTAAGTACAAAATACTACTGAAATCTGTTAGCATCCTATATAAATTAGTAGTATAAAATTTTCTCTGCTTAAAAAAGGCAACACTGTAGAGCATCAATTCTTCTAAACTTGATACTGATTTAATACAAATCTAAATTAAAATGCAGCAGGATGTTTGTTTGTAGGTTGGTGTGATTACTGTGGTGAAAATGGGTAAGCACATCCTAAAATACCTCAGCAAATATAAAGGGCTAAGAAGGATCAAGTCAGTTTGAAGAACAGAGTAGAAGAACTCAGCTCTATTGGATTTGAAGGCATTATACTGATGGGCTGGATAAAGCACTATGCAGTTAGTAACAAAATCAGGAAATGTATCAGTGAAACAAAATAAGGTATAAACAATTCACTCATATACAGATAATTTATTTTTTGTCAAGGTGTTAAGATGTGCAGTGAAAGAAAGGTGATCTTTTCAACCAGTAATACTGGGGAAAATGAAATATAAAAACCAAGTAAAGAAAACTTAATCCATTCCTTATCAAACACAAATAGTGAATTCCGAATGAACGATGCTGTCCAGTAGGGTTGTCGCTTGCAACGAGTACCTATTTAAATTCTAATTTAATTAAAATTAAATGAATCTGAATACATTTTAAAACCCAAACAAATAAGTTAATCAGAATAAGATTAAATGAAATGTGTAGCTCCCGACTCTCCTTGGCCCCATTTTCACCACCTGCAGCTTCCTGTGGCTGATAAGGACTGTTCTACTGATCATCACTGGTGTAGAACATTTCCGTGTTGCAGAAAGTTACTTTGGACAGTGCTGCTTGAGGGAGTCCAAGTTTTATGGAGCAAAACAACAACCACAATGAGGGCAGTATTAGGTTGGGGCTGGCACTGTGGTAGAGGAGGATTGCTGCTTAGAATCCAGCCGTAACTTGCTGGAGAAAGAGCCTGCCAGGTAGAGGCAACAGCAAATGCCAGCTCCTGAGACAGGTGGTCTTGTCAAATGTGTTCAGAAAATAGCAACAAATCCAGGGTAGCTGGGGGATGGGAAGTAGTAGCACAGGGAGAGAGTGTCAAGGAGCAAGAGCAGAGAGGGGACGGGTCATGGGATTCTTACAATAACATGGTCAGGTTCTTGGCTTTTTGCTTTGTATGCAGTGAGAAGATGCTGGAGGTTTTAAGCAATGGTGGGGTGCAGTCTGACGGCCTTTAATGCGATCAAATGGCTCCTATGCTGGGAAATGCCTATCCAGGAGCAGGGCTGCAAAGGAAGGAGGAGACTGTACAGAGGGAATAGGGGTTAGGGAAGCTGTCAGGAAACCTCTTCAAGTAATGCAAAAGTGCAGGAAACAGCTGTGATGGCGGCTTCTTGCCCTGAGCAGTGCCAGTGCGGATGGCGAAGCGGGTTAGAGCCGAGCCCCGAAATAGCGATAAGACGTGAGAAAATACCATGGTCCGGGGTTCGGATGACTAGAGAATGTGAATTGCTATTATTTGAGGTGGGGCCAGGAAAGGTTTGAGGGGAAAGGTTAGAAATCTGTTTTATATGTTGTGAGTTGGAGATGTGTGTGGCATATTCAGATGCAAAGCTAAGGAGGCACCTGAGTGGGGGCAACACTTCCTTCGTACTTGTGTCACTCTGAAAGCCACAGGGTGGTGTTAAACCTGGGGTGCTGATCTCTCTGTCTGTCTGTCTCTCTCTTTCTCTCTCTTGCTCTTTCTCCTCTCTCTCATGGGGCACCAATTATTATAGAATCTATCCGTAGAGATTTTCACATAATGCACTTGGTGGCTCTATTAACACAACCATTGAGGAAACTGCCCCATAGACCAAAAGAATCTAAAACATTCTATGGCTCCCACATGCTTGCCTTCTAATGAAGCTTCCCAGTCTACAGGACTCAAATGCCCAGTCAGCGCCCTAGGAGCTTTAGCCTCAGTGTCTGATGGGGGCATGGATCCAGTGTGTTAGACAATCTTCCTGAGTGGTTCCAATGTGGATACTGGTTTGAAATTACTATTTATCTGACTTTTATGTGCACAAATTGCTCTGTTAAGTATAATACATTGAAAAGACTTCACAAACAAAAGAAAAGAAAACAATAAAAAGAAAAGAAAAGAAAAAAGAAACGAAAAGAAAAAAGAGGGGCTGGGGATTTAGCTCAGCGGCACAGCACCTGCCTGGCAAGCACAAAGTCGTGAGTTCGATTCCCGGTACCGGGAAAAAAAACAAACAAAAAAAAAGAAAGCTTTGTAGACAGGCATGGGGGTACATCCCTGTAATGCCACCAATTGGGAGGCTGAGGCAGGAGGACTGCCATGAGTTCTAGGCCAACCTGGGCTACAGTGAGCTCAAAGATATTCTTAACTACAGAGTGAGACCTTGTCTCAAAATAAAAGGGGAAGCTTTGTCAATATAAGATAGGAATTCAAGTGTCAAAGAATTCCTATTCAGGTAGGTTGGATATGGGAGAGATTTAACAATATACCTCTACCCACCTGTGAAGCAAGTAGGCAAATTCTATGCTGCCAAAAGTGTATCTTGCATTGTTCACGTACACATGTAATACAAAGTTTAGATGTGAAAATTAGATAACTCTAAGTTGATAAATATCTCTGTCTTTGAAGCTTCAAGAAACACACACACACACACACACACACACACAAAGCTATTCTCCTTATTTGTAATAATTATGTTCTACACATTCGCCATGGACACTGGATTAGCAAATACTAAACTTTGGCTCCTAAGGGGAATCCAGTAAGATTAGGTGCCTCTGCCCCTGCAGTGACGACGTTCTCATCTATCAATAAATACTTCACCTTGTTTTGTGTGTAGTTCAGGTTAAAGACGCTTTATTTCATATACACACATGTGTGTAACTCATTAATGCTGAAGTCACCACCAAATTCTTGTCTATCACCCAGAACAAGGCTTAGTTAATGCACAGCACAGCCTTCAGATATTTAGGGACACTCCAGAGCACACCAAAGGCATCATAAAATCTCCATTTTAAACAATAAAAGCACCAACCTGAAGCACAAAGGTGTAAAAAATGTGTTACAAAATGGATCACAAATAAGACACCAGTTTACAAACTGAGAGCTGAAACCGAGACAGGACGCCCACTTGTTCAACTTCCGCTGAGGTCGTGTATATTGGATACACATACCTTCTGCTGCTCTGTGCATGTCTGCAAATGACTGCCAAAATGTTGGGGTTAGAAATATGTTTAGCAAGTAGGCAAATTCATGAAAGATGAAGGCTGACTGTCTTTATCAGTCTTTTATATTTACTACGGGCAATAATTCAGTAATGTATTGGCCCTGTGTAAATTACTGAACTACATCTGCAAGATGTTAAGGGCAGAGACCCAGGTATTCTGGGGAACAGGGCATGAATCTAGAAGTTCTGGAATATGAAAACATAGTCAAACACAAGTGACAGTGCCAGGGCATGCCAACCTTAGGGGTTATAGCTTCACACTCACCTCATGCCTCAGGTTTTGCAAATGAGGAAACCTGGACTCGGACTGGAACTACAGCAGGCTAAAAATATGAGAGGAGACAGGTAGGTCAAGAAATGGACCCTTGGTCTTTTTGCTCACCATGGGAAGTTTTCCCCACTAGGAAGGGTATCTTCGATGAAGGTCTCATTACTTGTATCTCCTAGTTATCCAACCCAGTGTAGCAATTGCTAAACCCAGGAAAGAATGCTGAGTCAGCAACTTGCAAATGTGTATGTGAATAAAAAATTTTAACCTTGAATTATTGTCTTTCAAATGATTTTGCATGGATTAAAGTACCTCCAAGCATTACAAGCTAAACAATATAAACAAAACAATCTATTTTGAATGGGGAATTTCCCAAACGATGCTAAAGGCTGAAATTTCTTTGTGAATAGAGTATTCTAAATGTGGTTTAAAAATACTGAGGATGAGATGCATCCCGGTGGTTGTCCCCATTCAGAGGCAGAGGGTTATTTTCTTCTACACTAAACTGACTGCATTTTCTGTAATATGATAGTTTTATGTTCAAGAAGTTTCTCATCATCAAACATTACATTGTAAGTACAATTGTTACAGTATGAGGAATTGGTGAGCACTAGAACACTGGCTTTTAAGTTTAGAGAAAATGTGCGTTAAATTCACCCCTTCCCTCTACACCATTACTGAGGCACTTGGGTTTAGTTTTCCTGACTCAGTAAGTTTAGAGTCCAAGGTCCAAGTCTCTCTATTAGTGACAAATACCCCATGTGCTTCTACAATAAGACATATAACATAATGGTTTTTACTTTGAGATTTCAATATTAAAGCCTTCTTAATAGCTAAGCAGTTAAGAATTAACTCTCACTATTCTGATATACCCATGTGGTTTGCTCCAGAATACTCACTCTTCTTCCCTTTCATCCTTCCTGTGTTCCCTAATGCAACTCTTCCACCTGTTCTTCAGGTCTTTATCACATCTGTCACCCTCAGCTATTAAGCATGAAGCGCCACAGCTTTGCAACTAACTGTGTTGCTTAAACGGCATATTTTTTCTTTACACTGTTATCATGCTAAAAAATAGCAGTCAGCCTAAGGTAAATCAAGTTCTTAATTACTCAGTAGCTTTATTTACAATTCGTATTATTAGAAATCTCTTCAGGGAGAGACGCCCGTAAGCCCAAATTACCATCCTATTTTTTAAACTTCATAGATTTTTCTGTCTGTTTCAGCAATCTCTTCTTATTCATTTCCCCCTGTCCCCTTAGCCCACCACTCTTGTTGCATTTAGGAAAGGATAATTTTCCAGAAATCAAAATCTTGACTCTCATACAGATATGAAAGTAAGAGCTTAAAAACATATTTTAGAGAGATTGCATTATTTATTTTCCAGAAATCAAAATCTTGACTCTCATACAGATATGAAAGTAAGAGCTTAAAAACATATTTTAGAGAGATTGCATTATTTATTTTCCAGAAATCAAAATCTTGACTCTCATACAGATATGAAAGTAAGAGCTTAAAAACATATTTTAGAGAGATTGCATTATTAATGAAGAAATTGGTAAGCTTTTAAGCTAGTTCAAAGGAGAATCTAAAGAACAGAGACATGGATGCACAAGTCATATTAGAATGAGACCTCTGCCAGGTGGAAGCTGCTTGCTTATGCACAAGAATTACTAACTTGTAGGGAACTAATGCTTTTTTTAAAAAGCAAAACAAAACAATAACAAAAAAACAAGAACCAACCCCCCTAAACCCACAAAACAAACAAAACAGCAAACAAACAAAAACTAAAAGGCAAAACAATCCTACCAACTTAAGTTAAAGGATGATTAAATGTAAGTGTGTTTTGGAAGTTAAAGATAGTAAATTCTCTAGGGAGATTTAAGGGCTTATCTCCTGCAGATGCACTGCCTACTCTTTAAGAGTAATAAAAGCCTCAAGATTTGTACCTCTTCCCTTGGAGGAGATTTGTTACCTTCCAGAGGCAAACTCTCTCCCTGACTATATAAGGAGAGCAGGTCCTGCAGTCACCCTCTGTCAGCCCCAAGCCTCCCGTGTTGGCTGGCTGTCTTGGGGTGCAAGGACAGCATGCAGTGTTGGGTGTACCCGGCATGATGGAATCAGCCCACAGGAATCTAGGCTGTGAGGAATCCATGCTACTGAGATTCCTTGTAAGTAAACAGGCTCTGGTCCAAAGTCCCTGTGTTTACTAGGATATGTAGACAGGTGAATAAATAGAAAGATAGATACCAGGTCCAGGTAGATATAATCTGTATATGAGAGGAACAACTTATTAAATCAGATGTGTAGTAGCATCTCATTCCCTCCACAGTTTCAGACTTTGGTTTGCGATCCTATGGATGACATACAATTTATAGTTATAAAATAATTCAATGTCATGAAAGTTTCACAGCCACCATGGTTCAGAATCTGATAACCTGGAAGGATATGCTGGCATCTGGACACCACCTTGTTTTTACTGATTTGTGTGTTTATTTTTCATTGCTCCGTCATGTATCTTCTGCATGTCATGCCAATCCTTTGTGCTACTGGAAGGAGACACCCTGGCTAGCATGTCAGAAATTTCTGGATGTGTTGGTACCCGCCTGTGATCCCGGCACTCTGGGAAGCTGAGGCAGGGTAGTTGAAGTCCATACGTATCCCAGGAAACTTAGTGACTTAGCACGACCCTGTCCCAAAATTAAAAAAAAAAAAATAAGAAAAGGGCTGGGGATATAGTTTAGTATGAAGGCCCAGGGTGCAATCATAGTAACACACACAGACACACAGACACACACACACACACAGGAGGCTCTCCACGGCAATCTCCAGACCTTTCCTCATTAATCCCACATGAGAGGCGGCAACATGGATACAGGGTATCTGCTTCCATCGCTCAGAATCTCCTGTGATGATTTCATGGCATCTGTTTTGCCTTGGATGTCTAGATGGTCATAGGTGTGGCGTCTGTTTAACTTGGTCACAGTTTTAATTAGAAAATAACATTGCTTAAAGAAACTATCATATTGAAATATGTTAAAATTTCCAAAGGAAACATTTCTGTGAGCTGCCTTTTCATGGCTGCCATGCATCACGGCCTGGAGTTTCTTACAACACCCTAAAAACCCTTTAGAATCCTGTGCTAATTGTGAACCAGTGGATGTGAACTATAGAGAAGTTTCTCTCAGTGTGACCCAAAAGGCAGGAGACAAAGACCTCAAGCTGCCTTATTGTCCTGCTCTTTTGGAGCTACCAGTGCACACCACTGATTCACCACAAGGAAAGGTGAGCAGTTCTGCTCAACAATGCAAGCACAGTGCAGCAGAAGAGAGGCTGACAGAGCTGCCTGTTTAACAATAACCTTAAACTTCCAACAGCCATGGCTGAGTTGGCTAAAAAGAGAGAGTGTCCAACCCACTCTATTGGCCAGTTCTGCCAACTTATTTCCAAGTTTGGCAATCGAGGTTCAGATTTTACTTGACTTCCTAAGGACACAGATCCATGCCAGGTCTGCAATCACATCTCCTGAGGGCCTCTACCCTGTCTTGCTGGATGCCCACGATTAATTCCATTAGCTTATAGATCATGTCCTCTTTGAGCAAAGCACCGTACTGATAATGCTCGGGGGCAGCAATTTGGAACCTTTTAGAACTTTCAATGATACATGCAGAAGTCTGCAACATGCATGCCGTGCTACAGGTTCACTAGCACTGCTCTAGGGGGAGCTGGGATGCAAGGAGGAAATAAAAATATTAGCTGTGGTTTCCCAAAAAGTAACAGTGCACACACAGAAGGCAACAAGGTTTCCCTGTCTCCTGCAGCTGACCTTGCCCTCCTGATGACTGAAGGAGGGTGGGAGTGAACATTTTCAAAGCCCATCTCCGTATCTTGTTTGCATTTTTGAGTCCTGTGAATGTGTTAATTTAAAAAGGTGGAAAAACTCTATCAGCCATTACCGTTTTCTTCCAATGTGCAATATTCCTGTGCCACAGAAGAGTTGTGATTTAACAGCAAACAAGTAGGACAGTTTTGACAATTCCCACTCTGTTTGTGATTTATTAAACCAGAAGCCTTTTGATTAATCTGTTCCTCTGCCTGCATTTACTGGAGCAAATAAAGCGTGAAAAGGGGAAGTTGGGGATGGGTACAAATGCATGCAACTTCTGTTACACACACGGTGGGGTTTTACTTTCTTCTGAGTAATTTGATAATCAGAGTGATGGAAGTGTTTATATACACTCAGGTACCAGCCTTGAAACTTTACATTCAGTGTTAGTTGAGTGGCTCTGTCCAATTTGTCCCTTTCCAAAGAGTAACTTCCCACTGCACTGCCAAACTATACAGATCACAGAGTACTAAAATGAGTATGAAAATTTGATTTAAAAAGAAACAGATGTATACCCGTTTAAAAGTTGATGAAAGAGAGAGGGATATATATATATATATATATATATATATATATATATATATATATATATATATATATATATATATATATATATATATATATATATATATATATCCCCGAATTTACTCTCTTTTTGCTGGTAACATAAATACTTTGTAAGAATGAAAAAGTAATTGCCTGCGTTTTGTAATAGAAAATATTTCACATTGCAGCACACATCCTTGCTCATGTTGTAACATCAGTGAATTCTGGCTATACCAACAATCAATAATGTTCTGCAATTATAACAGGCAGCACTTTCCTCTCTTGAAGGAAAATAACATGATGATGTGTGTTTTTAAAAAAATAAAGTATCGGATTTGGTGAAATGAAATGTATCACAAAAAATAATAATCAGATTTTCTAATGGTTTTCATGATAAATATGGTCTTACTAAATAAAATGACAAAGGAAAATAAAATCACTGTCAGTGCGTGGTGATAGTGTACATTTCAGGGAAAAGAGTTACTTTACTATAGCTGAAAATTTTCCAAGATCCATTTGTGTTGAATCTACTTCTCAGAGAGGTTAGATGACTAGCAAACTTTGACTCAGATAAAAGGTGATTTTGATTTTCTTTGTTTAACTTTTGCAGACTAGTGATGGTCTCCTCTCTTTCTTCCCCCATTTCTGCATACAAGAAACTGCATGGGCCATCATACAGCACAACGGCTCTGACTTCACGAGAGTCAGGCGTACTCATCCCGATCACCCATATGCTGGGATTTTCGAGTACACAGCCAGCATGGAGCAACTCCAGGCCACGATTAACCGTGCGGAACACTGCGAACAGGAGCTTGCTTACTATTGCAAGAAGTCACGGCTTGTAAATCAGCAAGGTAAGTAAACTGAGGCATCCATCCCGCTGTCGGTGGTGCACTGTGCGCCCACTCAACCAGCTCCGGCGGATTTCAGTTCCACCAAGGCGCCGAGGGACGGCATGCTTAGCAAGCATGTCACAGTCTGGAAGTCACGGGGGTGCTTTTGCCTGGAGAAAAGAACAAGGTCAATTTGCACTGAGCTTTGTTCAAAGCCTTGATTGCTTTCCGACTCTCCCCCTGGCCTTAATGGGATAACTGCACAGTGAGGATTCATTGTGATCCTCTGTGAATGCACAGGGTTTATCCTTATAAAGGGCAAGTGACACCTAAGCTTCATTTCAGCATGAAAAAGAGCTAATACAAATATGACTTCATTTCTGAAAGTGACTATTCTGTGTGGCTCTTTTTCACGAATTGTTGACAGTTCGCCTGTGGGGATAATTGAAAATTAGAAAAGGCTGCTGCTGGGAATGGTTGATTCAGTAGCTGAAGAAGGAATCAGGAAACCAGTTTCTCATGTGTGAGATTGGGGATCCAAACCAGAGGCGTCTCCTCCTGAGCTACGTCCTCATCTCTTGTTATTTGTACTTTGTGACAGGGTCTACCTAACTTGTCTCAACTGAATTTGAACTTGCAACTTTCTGCCTCAGTGTCCGAAGTAGCTGAAATCACAAGTGTGTGCCACTGTTTGTTTTTCTGGCAAGAAAAAATATCTTAATACTTTCTTTTATAAGTCTCCTAAATTCTGTCTGAGGATTTATATTTTTCTCCCTTTAGAATGTCTCAAGAGGTCGGGATATCTAAGATTCCTCCCCTTCTGCCTTAGAGGGAGTCCTATCCAGTACGGATGACCTTCTCCTTGGACAAAGTGTGCAGGAGTTTTCACTCGGTGCCCAGCTTGCCATCTCTCCATATCTTCTAACCATGCAATAAATAACCCAGAGTATTCATCTTCATGAAGGAAGCTAACCTGTAAGAAACACTGCTTCCTTCATGACTGTCCTCCGTTTAAGCAGCTCTGCTACCTGTTGTTGCTCCCTTGTCCCTCACAGACCTTCTGCTTGGAGCCAAGGACCGCGTGCTCTGGTCAGACCTCACCGATGCAGCCCTCATCTCTGTCCCAACACACTGTTTCCTACCACCGATATTTGGGTGTATTTTTGTCGATATTAGAGAAGATTCTAACACATCTGTGCAATGAAACTACTTCGTTAATGCTCACCCCTGGTTTTATCCAGTTCCAGGACTAAAGTTCCACATTATTTTAAAAATGTGTTTCATATGAATATTAAGTCGTATACATCGCCCATGAAAATGTTGCGATTTTAGTGTGACCTTTGGACCTTTCAATTCCAGTTAAACAATTCTCTTATTTACTCTCCATCCACTTAATACAAGATTCATTTCTTTCCTAAATCAGTTTCCTCGAACCCTTTTTCCCGCCCTTTTCCAGGATAGCCTCATGTGGTCTTTGACCCCTCCAATCCCATCTTTCTTGGCCCCTCATAAATCTCATCTACCCCTAAGAATTTAGTTATATTTATGAATGAAAATCAGACAGTAACAGTGTGAAAATTGTAAGGTTTGTAGGTGGGGAGGGAGGTAACTTCAGGTTCCAGGTCGTTAGTTTTCTAGACACAGAACCTAGATGAATCTTTGATTTGTCAAATGAACAAATGGTTCAGCAATTACTCTCTGTCTTTGCCTTCTCTCTTTTGAAATGGTGCCAATAAAGCCAATCTCATGGGGCTACTGTGATGACTGGATAACACAGCTCATGCAGAGTGTGTAAGTGAGCACCTCTCATTTCCAGCTCTCCAGAGCAGTGTGTTTATCGTTAACATACCCAGTTCAGCATGGAACTGATTATTCACTGTTGCTGAGTATTTATGTCATTCTGCTTGGTGTGCTCCTCCCCATGGTAGTCCTTGCCATAAATGGCAGGATTTTCTTTTTTATTTAAAGCTGAAAAATGTTCCATTATATACATATGTGTATATATATATATATATATATATATATATACACATATGTATGTATATATATATACACATATGTATGTGTGTGTGTGTCTGCGTGTGTATACATTTCTTTATCCTTTTATATTTACCTGTCAGTGAATATTTAAGTTGTATTTATATCTTGGCTATAGTGAATAAGGCCTCAATAATTATGGGGATCTCTATGAGATGATGGAAAACCTTATGCTGAGTGAAATAAGCTAAACATATGGAGACAAATGCTTTATCATCTCATTGATATGTGAAATCTAAAACAGTTGAACACATGGAAACAGAAAGTACAAGAATGGCTGCTGAGGGCTGGAGGTGGGGGAGTGTGAAGATGTTGGCCGAAGAATGCAACCTGGCAGTTACAGTCAATAATAGTGCATTAAAATAATTGTATTGCAATAACTGGAGATCTTCCTTGTTTGCGCCCCTCCCAGTAGCTCTGTGAGGTGAGGGATATGGTCACTGGTGAGGCTACGATAATAATCATTTCACAATGAATACAGACCTCAAAGTATCATGTGGCACGCATGACATATAAATATATACAATTTTTGTTTGTCAGTTTTACCTAAATAGAGCTGAAAATGGGAAACAGAAAGAATGACAATCATTGAAGTCATAGGTGAGCCCAACGGTAATACAACCAGGAAGCAAAATCTCCAAAGAGATAGGCAGCAAGTAGTACACAAATTAAAATGATGATGAACATGAAAGAATGTCACACTTTTGGCCAATAGGACCCACGAATCCCCTAAACCCTTTGATCCAGACTTGAGAACCCTTGGTACACTCCAAAGGCCGATGGACAGGGGAGGACGGTACTGTTAGGTGCAGAGTTTTCCTCAGATTGATGACCCTCACACTCCTACGGCACAGGAGGTACAGGCTGAAATAGCGAGACTGAAAGGGAGAGAACAATTTAGAGTCTGAGGTCACAGTAAGAACTATAGGAAGAAAAACAGGAAAATATTATTAAATTTAGCATTTCAGGTCTCAATACATTAGCAGTTTGCAATGACAAGGAGGCTGTAACTGCAGATAAAAGGGAATGTTATAAAATCTGTTTTCATCAGCTGAGGATTTATGCCAGCGCATGGAAAGATGATTACTGGGTCGCTTCAGTAAGGGCTTCTAAAGCAGAAGATGGAGTGTTCTAACAGATTTCCAGGAGTTTTTAATTGTAATGTAAAATTTTTATTTTACACGACTTTTGAAATTCACTCTCATAAGTTATTTACATTATTTAGTACTCTGTAAAAAGTTTTGGATGTACCCAAGGTGCATGATCGCTAAATATTCAGGAATTTCTGCTTCATAGTGAAGATAGGAAATTTAGATGAGCAAATATGATTTCATAGTTAGGAACGATGACTGCTTTTCTGTCTATGAACATAGGCAATGTGATCAAACACGAGGTTGAATATTTACGCTTTATTTTTAAAAATGTTGCAGCAAAAGACTCATTGGCATTAATCCCCCTTAAAGTACCCTCTCTCAGTTCTAATACATTTAGCTGTTTTTCTTGCTACTTTTTCAAGCCGTTCTGGAAGTGCCCTTTGGGAAGCTGTTAGTTGTGCTGTCCTGGCTGCCTCCGTGTCCTGAATCAGTTCATGTATTTGCCTTTCACGGTCATTCTGACTTTGGGGAAGAGCCAGAAGTCTCACAATGTTCGTAGACAGGCCTGGTGAGCAGGTGGATGAGGATACCTTGAAGTGTTTTAAACATTTGATTAATGAAGGGTGAATGAGAACTATGGTAAATGTTTAAATAAAAATATTTATTACAGTAAAGGAAACGTTGTCATTAATCCTCCTCAAGCTACCCAAGGTACTCCCCCTCGCTTTGAGCACACTGAGACCATCGTTCCTGGCAATGTGTCTTCCACTGTGATAAGTTTTTTAGAAAAATTAATTACTGACTGTATTTTTGATCACTCTTTGTAATCTTTTCAACTGTGCATTAACATATATCTAGTACATTTTTCCAGTAAAACTGACCTTTTGGTAATGAGTTAATCATCCAAATACAAAATGAAAACTCAATATTAATATGTTCATGTACTACTTGCACTTCCAATTTGTTTGTTTTCTTTATCTTTCTTTCTTCTTCTTTTTACATGGCTGATTAGCCAGTCTGGTAATGTGAGGAGAGAGACTGTCAGCATTAGCCAGGGTAATCTGCTAGTAAGATACAATGAAGGCTGACATTAGGAAGTAAGGGGAAAATTAGGAAAAGGACCGGATTCTCAGTGGGGCTCATGGTGACAGTTTAAAGGTCTGAAAGTCAACAGAAAAATGATCACACATCTCCGAGGAGTCTACTGATCTGACGTTACTTGCAGTCTTCTAGTTTCCTGATTCTCAAATGTCTATAATTTTTTCGCTGCAATTTTTTCCAAAGACATATCGGCTGCCTGCCTCAGTTATTTTTCTTCAAATCCTCGGCTAAATGTTCTGTCTGCTCCTTGCTTGAGCTCCTTGCCATCATGTTTAGTCTTAACTCTGAGAAGGAGCTGGTAGCTGAACATTTATCATAGAAAAAGATGCATTTGGCTAAGGGAAACTGTTTTAGTGTAATATTCACTTGAGGCATGAAGATCTTTCAGTGTTCTTTCTGGAGCCTCCAAATAAATAGCCACATCTTTAAATGGAAGAGGAAACACAGGCCTCCAAATAAATCTTCAACCATGGTGAGGGAGTACCATGCCAGGCCTAATGTTTAACCAACAGTTAGTACATTTCAGTCAGCAAATACATGAGAAAAATCCATGCCTTTACGTAACATTCCATAAGGTTTTAATGGGGCATTTCATAATTTTAAATGTTTGGCTTTGTTATGTTAATGACTGCGTTTTCTGTTTTGACATCAATTTGTTTCAAAAATTATTTTTAAAGAAATTGCATATATGAACTGCTCTCAATACATTTTTTAGTGATAGTACTTAAATTAAATTTAAATTGCTGGTTTCTTCTCTGCTCAAAGAAAAATGTATCTAAAGCTAAATGATGATACATTTTTTTCAAAAAAGTCATCAGGAAATGCCATTAGTTACAGCATTTAGTATATCTTTATATCATATCAATCTTTATTCTTTTTAATGATTTAGGAAGAAAGGTCTTTATGCTGGCAGGGAAGCAGATGTTACACGTCTTATATTTGTCTTTCAGATGGAACTTCTCTGAGCTGGTGGGTTGGAAGAACCAATGAAACACAAACTTACTGGGGAGGTTCTGTGCCTGACCCGCAAAAATGTACTTGTGGCTTGGAAGGGAACTGCATTGATGATCAATATCACTGCAACTGTGACGCTGACCGGAGTGAATGGTGATTGTCTCATGATTTCTTTTTTCAGGATAAATTTTATTTTCTTAAATTAATCATTCAGTGTATCCATACCAGCTTAGTCCAATGAAGAAATACAAAAGGTAGTTTTTGAGGGAATGTGGTACAAAGTAATCCTGAATGCTAATTAAGTTCAAAGCCCTTTTGAGTTTAATTGATTGTAAGTCATGTCCATCTTATTTGCATAGTAGAAGAAAACAGAGAAATCTGTTACACGTGAGTCAGTTACCATTCTCTTTACACCAATATATAATTAGGTATTCCTTCATTTTCAAAATACATTTACAGCCAATCACCAAAGCAAAATTCATCAGTAACCTGTGAAGGCTGTGATTTAACCACGTGCCCATAAAAATAGAAATGAAATTCTCAAGGAAGAGCAACAAAATTCATGTTCTTTACAATGTGTGTCATATCCAGAATATTACCATTTACTAAATATTTCAGAAGAGTGTACTTTGCTCTAAAGTCCAGAAATCAAAAGTAATTTTTAGACAAACCCTGGGACACTGAGGAAAAAAATTACCAGGCAAAAGCATCAAAGCAATGATTACTAATATGTTTAAAGACTTAAAGGTAAAAATAATTATAATAAACAAAGAAAGAATTTTAAGCAAATACATGAGAACTATGAATATCAAAGTGCAAATCTGAAATGAAAAGTCCTAAGAAATTCTCTAGGCTAAAGAGAAATAATGTCAGATGAAAACTCTGGCATTCACAAAAGTATCAAGTAGTCCAGAAATTATAGTTGTACTGATGAATATAAAAACCTAGTGTTTAAGTTGTTTTTCATTACAAAAATAAAATTCACTATTTCATTATATTGCACAGTTTAAAAATAGATGGATTTAAATATAAGATAACATTAGCATAAAAAACAAGTATGTGAGTGAAGAGGTAATGAATAATTTAACCAATAGCAAGCTTCTGACATTTTATTTTATTTTTGGTACCAGGAATCGAACTGACAACCTCGTGCTTGCGAGGCATGAGCTGGGCTGCCGAATTATATCCCCAGTCCACACATTTTATACTGTTAGACAACATAAAATATAAGTAGCCCATGAGGAGTGAAAGATGCATTTTGTAATTCATGAAGTGAACATTAAAATATAATGAACAGACTCAGATAAAAAGTTAATAGGGAAAATAAAGTCGAATACAAAACAATATGCATAGACCACCATGAGGCAGCCAAGAGGGAACAGAAATATAAGAAATCACATGAGAAAAACCAGTAAATAGAAAAATGCTCAGCTATGTGCCCAGATTCAGTCATTACACAATCAATGAATTAAAAAATATATTAATGAACTAACCATTTCAGTCGATAAGTAGATGGAGTGTCCATTAAAGTTAAAAATCTCCAACTACATTCCAGATTTATATTATTTTTCATATAATTTGTGTTTTATATCCTATATTTCAATGTCTGCAAGAGACATTAAGGTGTTAGTATGCTTTATATGTTCACATAAGCAGTTGGATACACACTCTTTGGTAAATGTACCAGTTTAGCTTGGAACATCTTGGTGTTGAAATGCAAGAAGAATTATTATTTATGTTAGAATTATATTAATCAGGATAATTTTAGGAATTGTTTTGTTGCTACTTTTTTTTTAGGACCAATGACACTGGATTCCTTTCTTATAAAGAACATCTGCCAGTGACTAAGATAGTGATTACAGACACGGGTCGGCCCCATTCAGAAGCAGCCTATAAACTTGGGCCTCTACTCTGCCAGGGAGACAGTAAGTGGTCATGATGTTTTGTGAACATGTCTGAGGAAAGCAATGTCACTAAAGTATTACGTTTCTATGGCAGGACAGTTGATCAGACTTCTACTGTAAAAAAACATAAGTAAGGTTGGAAATTTTCTTTCAGTCAGTCAACAAACCAGTACCTCTACAAAATGCAAAATCTGTGATAAATATGAAGAAGGCAAATGCTATTAGGCTTTTGGGAGAAACTACTCAGATTTTCTATTTTATTGGTTCCTCAATGTATTCAAACGTTCCTAAATTTCCACATCTCATTATCCACATAGGTAAACTTCGATGCTGCACAAAATTGTTTGGAATTCATGTGAATTTCCTACTGTTAGACCTGCAGTAAGATCAAAACATTAATAAAACCAAAAGTCAACTTGATTAAACAGATTTCAACTTTTAATGTTTTTAGTGTGTGCTTGTATGTGTGTGTGTGTGTGTGTGTGTAGTTGACTTTAAACCAATGAGCCATACTGGCTCTTATATTCAGTGTATTAAGATGCTAAGTCAGAATTTAAAAATTTGAACATTGTTTATAAACACACACAAGCGTATTTTCAGCAGGGAATAAAATGAGCACACGCATCCATTCATAGATGGTTCACTTTCCTAAAGTCAGCGTATAGGTAGATGGATTGTGTGCCCTTTTAGTATTTCTAAAACTTAAAATGAAAATAGAAGGAGTACCTGTTTATATTGAAAGCACACCCTAGAATAAAATTTTATTGAGGAGGCTCCACAGAAGAAGAGAGGATCTGACCACTCAGTAGGTACAGGGGCACACAGAGCAGAAGCTGCTTGGTTAAGAAGCAAAGATGATCCTGCCAATAAAAATTATACATACATTGTATAAAACCGTCTGGGGCTGTTTCGCCATCTCTGGTGTTTATCATCTCTACTTCCTGTCTGCCACGGTCATGCAGTCAAGTGAAGATGACATCGGATGTGTTGTGGAGAGAAAAATTACGTGCGAAGAGATGAGAGTATAAAATCGGGAGGCATGCAGGGAGCGTGGTGACTTTTCATGACTGTAGAGGAGCTCTGTTCACCATCTGAGGCTTTCACAGTGTGCTCTGCGCCTCACTCCAGGCTGGCTTCCCTTCTCTTCCTTATTCCACTTGCTGCTATCCCTGGGAATCAGTCTGCTCTGCCTAGGATCACTACCGTTCTATCCCTTAAAATTTCCTATCCCCAAACTCCCTGCTGTGAACCTAAGTGCACAACACCTATTTCTTCAGAGCAATGATTCTCCATCCCAAGTCATCTCCTCCCCGTAATTTAGCAATGTGTGATGTTTTTGGTTGTCACCAGTGGGAGGTGGCTGCTGCTGGGCTCTAGGAAGAAAGGCCCAGGCTGCTGCTGCACATATCCTGTATAAAATGCATGGCACAGCCCCCCACAGAAGGATTATCTCCTCAAAGTGTCAATCACTCTGCAACTGCATTGCTAGAACGTTCGCTTCCTGTGACCATGAGCACAGAGAAGAAGGCAGTGACATCAGTGCTGAGAATTTACACACAGTGTCCAGCATGTAGAGGCCCACTCATTAACCTCTGGCTTCACAATGAAGCAATCATTGAGTATCGGACCTTCTTTGCCACCTAACTCTACTTTTATGGTCAAAGTTCATTGTCACAGGAGATCATAAAGGCTATTTTCTACCAGATTTCCTCAGTAAAGAGAGCAATGACTGGAAATTAGTAAATATCCTTCTCTCTAGATGGGAAATCTGCCTCTTTTAAAGTTCAGTGCCCTTAAACACATACCATTTTTCTCTGCCAGTAACATACACTGGGTAAATAAGGGGCTCATTGATGTAGAATCCTACACGGGGGACCTTATGAGCAGAGGAACGGGATATGGAGATGACTCTTCAGAGCATCACAGCTGGGTACTTGTAATTTAAGGTTGAAAAATAATTTAAGCTTTATGTTTCAATCAAAAGCTTCAAAATAAGTTAAAAACTTAAAGACCAGTAATGCAACCTTTGATATAAAACAAGGGCTAACAGTGAGGACTTGCTTGCATAGCAAGTGATATTACTCTATGCCAGAAGAAGGGGATCAACTAGGGAGATCTAGATGGAAAGTTGAGATCAAAGTTTTGGGGATGATCTGCTTTCTGACTTGAGTGAAATTATTAGTGTTCCTTAAAACAAGACATGTCTGCATTTCTTGTAGAGAGCTAGGAGCAAAAGAAACATCTTTTTAAATTTTCTCATAGAAACTAGAGATGTTGGAAGTTTTATATCTAGCCATGTCTTTACAGGAGGACAAACTTTGAGAAAAAGGAAAAATAAATAATATATGAATAGAAGACCTACAGGTAGCAGATATGAGGTTACCCCAGATTAACTGGTGACATCTTTTTTCCAATTTCTTCTCATTTTGTTTTTAACATAGATGGGTCTGAAATTTCCTTTCCTGCTGGGATTGTTTTTGATGTCAGAAATCATAGATGGAAATTGTTAGGTATTTTCTCAAGAGTGCAAAGGATGTGAATGTTAAAGCAATCTTTGATTTTTTTTTTGAGATTTTTTACTATGCAGTTCAGGCTGGACATGAACTCACTATGTGGCCCACCCTGGCCTCGAACTTGCAGTGATCCTCCTGCCTCACCCTCTTGAGTTCTGGGATTACAGGCATGCACTACCATGCCTGGCCTAAATCTGTCTTCCTTTTTTTTTTTTTTGGCTTTTTTGAGACAAGGTAAGGCTATGCACTTCCGGCTGGCCTTCAGCTCACTTTGTAGCCCAGGCTGGTTTTGAACTCACAATGATCCTCCTGCCTCAGCCTCCCCAGTGTGGGATTACAGGCATGGGCCACCACACCTGGCTCTAAATCTCTCTTTTAAGATTGCGTTACAGACACAATCTTATAAAATATTACTGTATTTAATTTATTTATGAATGTGGAAATAATTTTTTTCAGTAAATATATGAAAAGTGGGTAGCAATTCAACATCCTACCTATAATAGAGCTAAACATACTAAGAACTAGAGAGAACTCTTTCAATTAGTAGATGTTTTTAGTATATAGTTATTTACATTCCTTTGGGAGAATCAGTACACATACACAATGCAGCTTTGCTCCTTTTTCATCCCCTTTCCCTTCTCCCCCTCCCTCTTCTCCATCTCTTGATCCCTTTCCTTTTTTTTTGCACATGCCTGCAGGACATAATGTTCACTTCCTTGCATGGAGCCAGTGCACACATAACACCTCTTATTCCTGTTTTCATTTTTTTCCCTTCCCTACCTCCCATCTCCTTCCTTCTCTTGATTCTCTTACCCTTTGGGAGAAGGACCAATCTCCCTAATTCCTATTGTCTACCTTTTAGTTTGCTCTTGATTTATACTTTGACCTTCTCATTTAAGAGAAACCAAGTGATATTTAAACTCATAGGGCTGATTTATTTCACTTAATATTATGATCTCAAGATGAATATTATTTTCCTACAAATGGCTCAAATTTATCTTTCCTTACTGCAGACCAATACTCCATTTTGTGTAATTAGTACAGTTTTGAATCCTTTCATCTGTTAATGGATGTATGAGCCACTCCCAAGTTTTAATTGTAATGAATTATGCTTCTGTAGATATGGGGATGGATGGATCCGTGCAATACAACACCTTTAAGTCTTTTAGAAAGATTTCTAGAAGGGGAATACGTAGCTGAGTCAAATGGAATCTCGAGTTTGGGGTTTTAAAGGCGTTTCCATACTGATTTCCAAAGTACTTTTACTAGTTTATGTTCCTACCAATAGTGTAGAATTCATTTGATGTTGTTATAAAGGGCATCTGTGAAAATCCAATAGATGATGTCTTAGTAAATAGTTAAACACTAAGGTGCTTTTTCCGTAAGATCAGTGTCAAGAGATGTCTCTTACCACTCCTGTTCAACACAATGCCGGCGACCCTACTACATGTAACAAGTTATCAAAAGAAATTCAAGTCATATAGTGGGGAAAGATACAAACAAAATGTTTCTATTGCCTACGGACGTGATTTTCTGGGTATAAACACCTGTAGTGGGCCGGGAATACAGCTCAATGGCACAGCACCTGCCTAGCAAGCACAAGGTTCTGCACTGATTCCCACTACCTAAATAAATAAATAAATAAATAGATAGATAGATAAATAAATAACAAATAAGTAAAATAAACCCATATAGAATTTCTAGTAAGTGAACTTAGCAAATTTACACTATACAAAGCCAATATGCAAAAGTAAGAACTACATTTATATTGTTTTAATAAAAAATATAAATTGAAATTTAAAAGGTAAATTTTAGAGTTGTATCAAGCATATGGAATATTTGATGTAAAGACAGCAAAAGTGAAAACATGAATGAAAATAATTAAAGAACTAAATAAAAAGACTATCTATGGATATGATTATTGTCATTGAAATATCAGTTTCCCCAAACTGATATGCAGAAGGAAAACAATCCCAATTGAAATCCAGCAGGTTTCTCCCTCCCTTCCTCCTTCCTTCCTTCCTTTCATCCTTCCTTCCTTCCCTCCCTGTCTCCTTCCTCCCTCCCTTTATTTTTTCCGTCCTTTGTTCTTTTTTTTTCCTTTGGTAGACATTGATTCACTTATTCTAACATGAATTTGGGAAAGCAAAGAAACTAAGTTAGCTAAAATATTTTAAAAACTAAAATTCAAGAATTATTGACATGGAGATTGACAGACTAATGGAATGGTATAGCAAGCACAGAAACAAACTTACATATTCATTGGGTAACAATTTTCAGCAAGGCTTTCAGGCAGCTGGATGATAAAAGCATAGTTCTCTTCCAGACACAGTGGTGGAACAATCGGAATTTATTAGAAAGAGAGCAAGAGAGAGAAATTCAACTCTAAATTAGAATCAGAAATTAACTCAAGATTGATTATAAAATTAAGTATAAAACCATAGATGATAAAATTTCTCTAAGAAAGTACAGGAGAAAGTTTTAGTGATTATGGGTTAGAACTAGATT